CCAACCATGTATTCCGAACTGTCACAAGCCGAAAAACGGTTCCACAAGCTAACCTGCGCCCACTGCCGCAAGAAGAAGGAGAGGTGCGATGGGGCCTATCCCGTCTGCACAGCCTGCCGGGTCAACAAGATTTCAAAGTGTAACTACGACAAACCGGCCTCTATTGCCTACGTGCGGCACTTGGAGAAGCAGGTCCTTACCATGCAGAAGAAGTTGGACGACAAACTCGACGAATCCATCACCGTGCCGTACGAATACGTCTCACGGACGATGAAGCACACGGACTACTTCATTCGGCCGTTCCCCAACCACTTGCCGACATTGCTTGCTGAGCTACACGGGAACGAGGATGCAGAGAGCCAGGACGAATTTGACTCCGATAAAATGGTCATGAGCATCTCAGACAAACAGTTTGACGAGATCATGGCTGCTAAGGGCTTGACCACTCTTACCCGCATGGCCAACGAAGCTATCAGACAGCTGTTTGTGGGGGTTTTGCCCCGCAAAGTCTCTCGCTGCTTCGAAAAGATGGGCCCTGAAGATGAAATCCCAGACCTCTCCGAGACATACTCCTCGCCTCTTATCGGCGAGGTTGTCCAATTCTACATCAAACTCTTTGGAAATTCTTCGTATCCGTTGGGATCTCCATCGCACAACTCTATCCAACTCACCCAGGATGCGGCGTTTAGACACAAGTGGGTTACGTTGATGTCGCAAGCACTATTCGAGCCGCCTACCCAGGCATTGGCCTTTGCCTACTTCTTCCAGAGCAACTTGGAGATTCACCTAGGGGGGTCTATGACCAGATCCTGGATCTTCTTGGGCATTTCAGCCAAGATTTTGGCCAGATTATGGCAGTACTCCACCAAGGCGACCCGATTGTACTGGGTGCTATATGTGTGGGACAAGATGCTTTCCACCCTCATGAACCGTTTGCCCTTGATGGCCGAGGTTCCGCCGGCCTTCCCCGACGAAGTCGAGTTCAGCATCTTTGATGTTCACAGTGTGGAGGGCAACAGTCTGCGGAATCTCGACACCACCCCGCTTTTGATTGTGCTTTGCCGGATGACCATCATTCTTGGTGACATGTTACACGACGCTGACCGCTTTTTGCCGGTTAGAAATAACTTGTTGACGATGGCTGACAAGCTCATGGACAGCATCCCGCATGAGCTCCGAGACTCGGCGAACCAGCAGAATCTCGGCTACTACAACGCTCTCTACCACACTTTCTGTGGGATCAAGTTGCGTTTGTTGTCTTTGCAGTTTGGGTCCAGCTTCCAGGCGCAGCTACGCACGCTTCGCGGCAAGAATCCGGGCGATGCCGAGTTTAATTACTACAGCTATTCCGAGATGCACACGTTCAACCCAGCTGAGTACTTGGAAATGGTTGATACCATCCTCGAAATCCGACGCTTGATTCTTCCGTCGGAGAGGAGCAAGCAGGCGGAGGAAGAAAACACAGAGGAAAAGCGTGAGAGCTTCTTGGTGGTGCGGAAGTACTGGTTGATGACATTTATCATCATGCCGATGCACAAATTGCTAGCCAACATGAGCTTCATCGAGTACACCGAAGGATGGGCCAATAACATGGCGATGAACCATCCACAGAGGGCCGAACGCATCGACATGAACTTGTTTGTGGACTTTTTCCGCATCCTCTGGGAACAGCTCGCGTCTGAGAAGCGCTACTTTGGTCCAGCCGTGAGAGACTGTATTGAGTTCATGGCTGCCAACCCGTTAAAGATTTTGGAGAGGGACGACTACGCTTACAGCAAATCCCGCATTGAAACCTGTCTTGAGATGATCAAGGCAAACCAGGTGTTTGATCCGGATGCCAGTGAAGCCTCCGCCAACCCTGCAGCTCTGACCGAGCCGGAAAGTGTCAAACTCCAGTCTACAACTAAGCCAAAAAGATTGAGACAGGCTTCATATACCAATCCCGAGATCCTTACTGACATCAAGCAGGAGGTTGAAATGGACCCCAAGGGAGGCTGGCTGACGGAGCCGGCGGAGGTTGAATGTATCGAATCCACTCATTCTGATGGCACCAACTCAAGCCATCACCAAGTTGCCTCGCGGTACCATAACGCTCCAATTCTTGAAACCCCGCACGGTCTCGAACAAGATATGTTTGCGCCTCTGTTATTTCAACTGTACTACGGCGCCACCAGCTCTACCTCAAATAGCGAGATCTTTGCGCCGCCTATCCAGTTAATCAAAAACGACTACAACGATAAATTGACCATGGAGACGTTTTTGTTCAATGGTATGTTGGCAACTGGCGACCAGCCGCCGCAGATTTCTGATGAATTCTTAAACCACTACATCGAAGGAGGCAGCATGAACGCGTCTCAAAACGCGCACTATCCACCGTCAGGGTCATGGGGCGTGAACCAAGAGCTATTCAATAACAATCTCTTCCAAACGCCGTACTTGAGTCACCCCCGAGAAAGCCTTAAATCTCACAAGAGACACAGGCCAGATACGAACCACCCCATTGCAAGCGGGAACGGATACGGGGTTGCTGAGGTCGGTATGACCTCTCCTCGTTTCATGCAAAGCAATGACCTTGGCCGTTAGGCGTGTTCCCATTCCTTTATTAATACACTGATATATTCATATAATGCTGATAGACAAACTCGAAGGATAACTTGCTGGTGAACTTTTTTTGGTATAGATTGTCACTGGCAATAAAGAAAAAAAAACTCCGCTTCAAGTAACTCCGGATTTTCGTAAGGATAAAAATATCCATGATAAAATCCGCCCACAAGCCTATAAACCATTCTAGCTACACTTAGACGCCAATCGGTTATCTATATCTACAAGTAGCTGTTTAAGAAATCTGGGTTTAATGCAGGAATATCAAAAGGATTGCATGAACATGAGGAGCCTCGGAACGCTTTACCTCGCTCCTGTTTACCAATTGAGAGGCCTAGATAGGCTGATATCCAGCTTTTACCAGTATAAGGGCTCTTCGGAGGTAAAACTGTCTTATAACCAGCTATCGCACTTTTGGTCTCGTACTTATCACCTTGTGCACGCTTACACCATCTGCTGCAAATGAGCGTCTAGTTTATATAACATCCCTGTCCAGTGGAGCGGGTAGAGAAACAGAAAATATGCCGTGACTGCGGAGGTTATTTATTCACGTGATGACACGTGCGTATGCTTAGGGCTTTACTCCTCCGCTTGCGACAGGCCGAAAAACTTTTGCCCATCCTCTGCACTATGTCGTCCGCTGTGTATGCGTGCGAAAAATTGAGTGAAAAAATCTCCCAAAAAATCGGAAACTTGCAAAATCCTACTATATAGAAAATCCCCCAGTCTTTTTTCTTGGTCTTTTTTTTTTCCACAACAACACCCCCTTTTAAACACTAATAAACTATTGATCAAAATGGGTAGAGGTCCAAAGAAGCATCTTAAGCGTCTCGCAGCTCCATCTCACTGGATGTTGGACAAGTTGTCCGGCGTGTACGCTCCACGCCCATCCCCGGGTCCACACAAGTTGAGAGAATCCTTGCCTTTGGTTGTTTTCTTGAGAAACAGACTTAAGTACGCCTTGAACGGCCGTGAAGTCAAGGCCATCTTGATGCAGAGACACGTTAAGGTTGACGGTAAGGTCAGAACTGACACCACCTACCCAACTGGTTTCATGGATGTCATCTCCTTGGAAGCTACCAACGAGAACTTCAGATTGGTCTACGACATCAAGGGTAGATTCGCCGTCCACAGAATCACCGCCGAAGAAGCCTCTTACAAATTGGCCAAGGTCAAGAAGGTCCAATTGGGTAAGAAGTCCATCCCATACGTCGTTACCCACGACGGTAGAACCATCAGATACCCAGACCCAGCTATCAAGGTTAACGACACCGTTAAGATTGATCTCGCTACTGGTAAGATCACCGATTTCATCAAGTTCGACACTGGTAAGTTAGTCATGGTTACCGGTGGTAGAAATTTGGGGAGAGTTGGTGTCATCACCCACAGAGAGAAGCACGAAGGTGGTTTCGACTTGGTCCACATCAAGGACACCTTGGACAACTTGTTCGTCACCAGATTGACTAACGTCTTCATCATTGGTGAAGCCGGTAAGCCATACGTTTCTTTGCCAAAGGGTAAGGGTATTAAGTTGTCCATCTCTGAGGAACGTGACAGAAGAAGAGCCCAAGCTGGTTTATAAATTATATGATTATTTTTGTGTAATATAATTTTTGGTTTTTAGTACGATTGCCAGCTTATGTAGCCTTTGCTAATATTTTTGTTAGTTGTCCTTGCCTGGCCGTGGTTGCCGAAGTGAAAAGTAAGCCCGAATGCATATACACCGAAATACCTGTAGGGCTGGGCAGGTGAAAAATAAAGGCCATATGCAGATCTAATGCCAAAAGCCGTGGCACCTATTGCCTTCTCAAGTAGCGGCCCCTTCAGAACAGCTCTTTATGTTTGCATCACTCCTTTCGTATATACTATGCATATTATCTCTCTGTCAGCTGGCCTCTCTGGTAGAGGCGGTGCACATCCCGACGGTTCCCCGAAACCACACTGCACGCTACACCGTCCCACCTCCACACCCGTTGCTTTACACCTCCACCTTCACAAAGAAGCACCTTGCATTGCTCAGAAACGAGACAAAAGAGCTATTTGACTTTGCATGGAAAAGCTACATCCAATTTGGCTTCCCCTCGGACGAAGTGGCCCCCTTGACATGCATGCCCCTCGGCCCCGACTACGAGGACCCCACCAACTATTACAAAAACGACGTCATGGGAAACTACTCTCTCATGCTTTTTGATAACCTCGACACCTTTGTTGTGATGGACGACTACGAAGGGTGGCGAAATGCCCTCAGTTTGGTCAAAGAACACTACCAGGACTTCAGCATCAACGTCACGGTCCAGGTGTTTGAGGTAAATATCCGGGTCTTGGGTGGCTTGCTCTCAGCGCACTTGTTCGCGTCGGATGATAGCAGCCGGTTTAGCCTCCCAGACTACGATGGCTTCTTGCTAGACTTGGCCCATGACCTAGGCACCAGATTACTCCCGGCCTACGAGTATACTGCGAGTAAGGGCATTCCGTTACCCCGAGTCAATCTCAAGTACGGACTATCGCGCTATGTCACGGAAAACCACCAAAGGGACAACTGTGTGGCCGGGTCTACCATTATTGTGGAGTTTGGCTTGCTCAGCCGTCTTACAGGCGACGACAGGTTTTTACAGAGCTCCGTCAAAACGTTGAAGCATGTCTGGAGCAAGCGGTCCGAGCTTGGCTTGCTCCCTACAAGCTATAATCCGAGAGATGGCCAGCCAATGGACTCCTTTACGGGGATAGGTGCGTCGGTAGACTCGTTCTACGAATACTTGCTCAAATACTCGGTCTTGTTTGGCGAGGGCGACGAGCACCACGAGTTGGTGTACGGCATGTGGAAAGACAGCTACAAAGCCCTTACCGCAAACTCTCGGAACGAGTGGCTCTATGGCAATGTGGATACCAAAGCCGGCTTCATGGTGAGTGCTTGGGTTGATGCCCTTATGGCGTTTTGGCCGGGGTTGCAAGTCTTGAACGGGGACGTCAAGGACGCAGCCAGATATAACACCTTGTATTTGAAGCTATGGAACACGTATGGGGGGATCCCCGAGCGCTGGACGTTTTATCGCACCACCCAAAGGCTACCGAGTGGGGTCGACACGTTTGATCCCATCGGGTTGGAGTGGTACCCCCTCAGACCAGAGTTCATTGAAAGTTGCTACCACCTTTACAGAGCCACCAAGGACCCACTCTATCTCCAAATTGGCCAGCGGATTTTGCAGGACTTTAGAGAGGTGTTTATCGCACCGTGTGGGTTTGCCGGGTTCCAGAACATAAAGTCGGGCGAGAGGGCCAACCGAATGGAGAGCTTTGCGTTGAGCGAAACCCTCAAGTACTTGTACTTACTCTTTGACGAGGACAATTTAGTGCACTCCCATGCATTCCACAACGGCAAGAGCCTAGTGTTTAGCACGGAAGCCCACCCTCTCTGGTTCAACAACAGAATGGATCCTCGCCGGAATAAGACTTTGAAGAACTTTGGCCGTCAAGGCCAAACACAGATGGCTTCAAGCGATCTAGGGTTCAAGGCTTTGTACAAACTCGAGCAAACAGCCATGCCGGACCTTGGTGTCTTGGGCTTGAAAACAGAGCCGTTTGTCGCTCTCCACGAAGGGAGCGGTTGGTGTGAGGTCCCAGAAACCTGCCCCAAGGCTTCCGAGTTCATGTCGTCTCGGCTTCTCGGTTGGAGCGAGCTCTACCGTTTCGATAATGCGTACAAGGATGTTTTGTACAAACCTCTGTTCTATGAAAATGATTCTATCCCGAAACAAATCGAGACGGAACGCGGTTTCTACAATCTCTACTCCCATCCCCGGGGCCTTCAATGCCCCAGGGAAAAGACCACCAAAGATTACGACGTCGTTGTGGGCCCTGTGAGCAAAATACCACTAAACACGATGCTAAGAGTTGTGAGAGGAGAGCCATACATTCCGCCAACCGAAGAGGAGCTCGCGGTGGCGAAAGAGTACGAAGGGATCATTTTTCCTGGCGACATCTGGATGCCGCGCTTAGCAGGAACCAGATTGCAAGTCGAAAGCTTGAGATCCGGTCAGGTAGACTCCGCTAACATTGATATCACGACCGAGTTTGTGGAATCGTTCCACCTCACCACTAGCGATGCGATGTGTCCGTTGAACCCCAACGATCACGTCGAGTGGACGAACGTGTTGAGGTTGCGCATGGTGAACGGTCACTTAATTGGGCACAATTCCATGGTCTGGACGCTTCCATTCGATGCTACGACTGAAAAAGAAATCACGGTCGGAGAGAATGGCATTATTTTCATTACTGGGTACCCGGTAGAGAACTTGAGAGTCTGGTACGGAGTTGGTTAGGCCCGGAGCTATTCTCCCAATACTAGGTGACCCAGGCCTGGCGATGAATAATACCCTATTTAGTAATTCACACGAAAAATCCCCTTTCCCGGATCCGTTTTTCTAAGGGCTCCCTGTTTACCTTTCTGGTGCCAACGATGACTCTTATCTGATGCCCTTCATCCTATGAGCAGGCGTAGGTTATGTGACGTCAGAGATACCTCTGAAGGTGACCTCCGCTGCAAAATGTAGGACTATCCTGTATGCGCATCCCCTGAGAGATGGACACATGACGGCACAACACAGAGGAGCAAGCCTCGTACTTGTGGCCTATCATTGTAATAGGTGGTAATGAGAAGCAGCCGCTTTCACAACCTGGCATCCTAAATATAAAAACCTTTCAATCTTTCATGGCCTGTGGATTCTGCGACACTCGTGCAAGCGATAAGGATCGAAATGGCAAAGCAAATCGTATCCTGTACATTAATACCTTAACGCTCCCATATTAGGTATGAAAGTAGCGGAAGTACAGCAATTTGTCCCGTTTTGGACGCCAGGCACCGAAAACCCGGCGGGTAACCCACGTCAGAACTGATACACAGCACTGAAAAAAAAGAAACGTGGGCTCGCAGAAAAAGGAAAGGGAAGGAGAGGAAAATCTTTTTGTATGGCGGGAAGCGGCTTGGTGAAGATCTCTATACTGGCAGTATACATAGAGATAGTGCGCATCAGACGTTTAGTGCCGGCGTCAATTTTTGTACGCACTCGCTTTTTTTTTTGCGCCCACGAGGACTCCTACTTTGATTACATTTTGCGATACCTTCACGTATTTCTGTTCGAGTGTATTATATCCTCTCTCAAGACCCGGTTTTAGAGAAGCTGCTGTGATATCCCGTTTACCGCGTTTAATTGCATCCCTTGGGTCATCTATCGACCTCAACTTCGTTTTGCTTTCAGTGTACGTATCCTTTGGCCACCAACCCTGAGCCGATTACTAATGCCTTGCCAGTGGCACAGCTATCGAACTCTACTCGATTGGACTGTTAATTTATTCGATATTGCCTCAGACCATCCCATTGCTTCGCCCCCTCCCCTTTAATTAATACCATCCTCATTGCACCATGGCTGACTTTGCAAGGTCATTGTTCAGCTTTGGCGCTTACAGCAAAACCCCTACAACCACCGCGTCGCCTACCCCGGCCACCACCCCGCCACCGAACTCTGCGCCAACAAAGATCGAAGAGAGTGCCGGGCAGGCTGCAAACAACTACGCAAGCTTGCAGGCGGTGATGTCCAATTCCACAATAAACGGCCAATCTCACCAAATTTACCCTCCAGACGTCAACGTAAAGTCGCATAACTCCTCTATGTCCTCCACACAATCGCACTCAAGCCACTTCTTGCCAAAGGGCCTCACCGTGTCTGCTCCCACCACAGCTATCTCCAACGACGGATTTGCTTATGGCATCAACTCTGCAGGCGTGACGGTGACTACCGAAAGAGTGTTATCCCAGGCGGTTGCGAACGACCAGAAGTACGCCATGTCTCAGGACATGACTCCAGAGCCGCCAGCCGGCTACGGCGGCTCCCACGAAACCATCAAGGGAGGTGCTTACTTGAATAACCAAGTCTCGCCCTTAGCATCCACCCTCTCAGTGGTCGACGACACCTCTCCAGACACCGCTATCCCACGGGGGAAGTTGAGAGTGACCCTTGTGGAAGCCAGAGGCTTGAATGTTACCTCCCAGGCAGCGCAGCCATACGTCGTCTGCACCTTCGAAGCCTCGGAATTTATCACCCACGGCCCGGAGTCTGTCGACAACCCGAACCAAAACCACCTCGCCGTGCCTGGTAACCAGTTCAGAAATACTTCCTCCGCGAAACCTATCCAAACCAAGCCGGCCTATCTGCGCCAAGCTTCCACCCAAAACTTGGCCACCAATAACTTGAATGCGTGTGCGAGCGGTGCTAATCCTTCCTGGCAGCACCAAACCACCTTTGACGTCTTGGCAGCCAACGCTGAGTTGGTCATTTCGCTTTACGACGCCAACGCCGACCACCAATTCATGGGCCATGTCCGGATCACCCCGCAGACGATCACTGATGACCGCAAGTCACACGCTGCGTGGTTGCAATTGGAGCCAAGGGTTATGGGCGAGTCTGTCAGTGGCCAAATCAAGGTGAGATGGCAATTCATGACCACTGGAAAACGTCACTATGGCCCAGAGGACTTTGAAGTCTTGAGATTGTTGGGTAAGGGAACCTTCGGTCAGGTGTTCCAGGTACGTAAGACGGACACCGACCGAATCTACGCCATGAAGGTTTTATCCAAGAAGGTTATCGTTCGCAAGAAGGAGGTGGCCCACACCATTGGGGAGAGAAACATCTTGGTTAGAACCGCCTCTGCCTCCTCTTTTATTGTGGGGTTGAAGTTCTCGTTCCAAACCCCGTTGGACTTGTACCTTGTCACCGACTACATGTCTGGTGGTGAGCTATTCTGGCACTTGCAAAAGGAGGGCAGGTTTGCCGAGGACCGTGCCAAGTTTTACATTGCCGAATTGGTTCTCGCCTTGGAGCACTTGCACGACAACGATATTGTGTACAGAGATTTAAAGCCAGAAAATATCTTGTTGGATGCCAATGGGCACATTGCTTTGTGTGACTTTGGGTTATCCAAGGCTAACTTGGCTTCCAACGGTACCACCAACACTTTCTGCGGTACTACCGAGTACTTGGCCCCCGAAGTTTTGTTGGACGAGTCGGGATACACCAAGATGGTTGATTTTTGGTCCTTGGGTGTTTTGATTTTTGAAATGTGCTGCGGTTGGTCTCCGTTCTACGCCGAGAATACCCAGCAGATGTACAAGAACATTGCCTTTGGGAAGGTTAGATTTCCAAAAGAAGTTTTGTCTGCCGAAGGGAGATCCTTCGTTAAGGGCTTGTTAAATCGAAACCCAAAGCACCGGTTGGGCGCTACCGATGATGCCCGTGAATTACGGGCCCACCCATTCTTCCACGACATTGACTGGACCTTGTTGAGAGAAAAGAGAATCCCGCCTCCTTTCAAGCCTCACTTGGCTTCTGAACTTGACACTTCCAACTTTGACCCAGAGTTTACCCAGACATCTGCTTCGGTGATCAATAACCAGTTCCACTTGGCCACCACTCCGTTGTCTCCTGGCCTCCAGGCAAATTTTAGTGGGTTCACGTATGTCGACGACTCGGCTATGGACGACCATTTCCACTCGTCGAGTAACTTCAACTCCCACCGCAAAATCCAAAACTCGTTCAGGGCCCCGGGCTCGTTTATCCCGGGCAACCCTAACCTTCCACCAGATGAGGATGCCACCATTGATGAAGATGAGTCAAACAATGGTCACTTGATGGACATTGACGAAGATCACAATATGGACGACGATGAGTTTGGCGGTCAATTTGATCTTTAGAGACATGGCCGTATCGCTTTTATGTCTCTCGACACCCGGTTAGGTCGAGGCTTTGTTTCACGTGTACTTTATTTTTGCTCTTTTTTGGGTTAGACTCTCACTTCTGTTTTTTTTTTCTTCTTGGGTCGTGTTAATGTATCAGCTTTTTATGAACCCGGCCGGCACAAAACTTCATTATGATTCCTGGTTCTTTTATAGAACGAAACCCATTTTGTATAGGTTGAATTCAATTGAGGCCTAGCTTAGAGGCGGGTCTGCCAAGACCTCGTAAGCTGCGTAGTTTGTATACATAGACTTATAACACCTGCGTAGTTTGTATACATAGACTTATAACACCTGCGTAGTTTGTATACATAGACTTATAACACCTGCGCAGTTCGCATACACGAGGGCCGAGTCCCGCCGCTCTAATAGGGAGATATACCCCGGACAGTAATAACAAAGCACCTACACCGAGATGACACTAGCATGGTTCGATGGTAACCCCCCATGGCCTAAACTACCGTGTTTCGCGGTCCGAGATCCACTGTACGTCAACGTCTTCCAGGCACAGCCGACCTGGGCAGCCCCCTAATTTGAGCTCCGAGGGCAATACGCACGGCGTTGGGTAGGTTTGTGCAGGACCGAAACGCCGAAAAATACCGTCACGTGACCGGTTGTTATGTTCCGGGGAGACCGCTAGAGTTTTTCTAACCGAGGCTTGAGCTCCTGCAATTGACAAGGAGAGGTACAAGATGAGCGGTGGATAACGACCCACTCCTCTTCACCACACAACTCCCCCCACTACCCCCACGACCAATCGTGCACCTATTGTTGTAACACGCGACGTATGGAAACGACCCCCATAGCTATCCCCTGAAACTCCTTCTATCGCTGAAAGCAGGCCCAACGCAATACAAAGAAAACACAGCACACAATGACCGACACCATTTCGCCTCCCGCAGTCAGTCTGGGCTCCACTGACTTTGTTAAAAAGCTATTTCAAATGCTCGAGTTTGAAAACTACAAGGATATCGTGCGCTGGGCAAGCAATGGTGAGTCTTTTGTGGTGCTCGACACTAACGAATTTACAAAAGAGATACTCCCGAAGCATTTTAAACACAGTAACTTCGCGTCGTTTGTGAGGCAGTTGAACAAGTACGACTTCCACAAGGTCAAGAACCTGGGCGAGGAAAAGACAAAGCAAGAGTACGGCGACGACGCATGGGAGTTCAAACATCCGGACTTCCGTCAGAACGACCGTGAGTCGCTTGAAAACATCAAGCGCAAAGGCCCGTCGCAGAAGAAGACAGCTGGTGAGAGCTCTGAAACGCTTGGCTTGAGCAGCGATGTCAAGAGCCTCATGGATAACCAGAAGGTGCTCCATAGCGAGTTGAAGATGTTAAACACAAAGTACCAGACGGTAGTGGACAATGTGGCAAATTTGAAGATCTTGAACGACCGCTACCACCACTCGTTATCGTCGCTTGTGGGGTACTTGAACAGTGCCGGTATCAAGGTCCCTCCCTTGGATCTCCCAGACCCGTTCAGTGTTTCTCCCACCGTCCAGCAGCTGCTCAAGAGCCAGATGCCGTTCCAGCCGCAGCATTCGCGCGGGTCCTCTTCCCACGACGCAATTCTAGATCCGTTCGGCTCGACTCTTTCGGTGAAAGCCTCCCAGGTAGACCTCACGCAGCTAGCACCGGCGCTGATCGCTGCGCCAGCCCAGAGATCTCAGATCGCGATGGTACCGGGTGAACCGTACAAGTTCCACGTGCTCCTCGTGGAAGACGACAACGTGTGTATCCAGCTCTGCCGAAAGTTCCTTGTGAAGTACGGGTGCACTGTGGAGGTCGTCACCGATGGTCTCTCTGCGGTCTCCGTGGTGGAAAAAGTCAAGTACGACTTGGTGCTTATGGACATCGTGATGCCAAATCTAGACGGAGCGTCCGCCACCTCCATCATCAGATCTTTTGACCAGGCTACCCCCATCATTGCCATGACCGGGAATATTGAGGATGCAGACTTGGTCACGTACTTGCAGCACGGGATGAGCGATATCTTGGCCAAGCCATTCACCTCCACGGACTTATATATGATGTTGGAGAAGCACTTGATTAACAAGAGCAGTGGCCACTTGAACGGTGACCACGCTCCGCTCCAGGGCCCTCCACAGCAGACGTTGCCGCTTCCGAGTGCGTCGTTGGTCAACCCCACCGCCGGCCTCACGCTCCCGTCGCAGTCCGACGAGTTACTAGTCCAGCCGATGAAGAAGCAGCGGCTAGATTAATGAACTCGGGAAAAAGCCTGGCGATACAGATCAAGGTTCTATTTTTTATATTTTACCCAAAAGCATTTATATCGCCGCCTTCAACTAGATTTAATTATCATGGTAGAGAGTGAAATCTGTAGGTCTTGTAAACAAGGCTTATGAAGGTGTATACTTCAAGCCACCAACCGTAACCGTTTATGTATCGGAGTTTTCCAGCATGAAATGTCTACTAGTGTTTTGCAAGCCAGAAACCGCTCCTCTCAGAACACAGAAGCCATAGATGTGTCCCGAATCGTGATTGCCCTGGGGTGAGATCAAATAGCCACAAGGAAAACTGCTAGTGTTATACTTTTGGAATTCAAAAGGGATGTGATTGCCCTAGATCCTTTTAACTGGAAGCTTTTGGATGTGCGACTTCGTTGACTGAATTTATTAAACGCTTCCTGGAACCCCGGATGACTAACCAAGCTTCCCTGAACCTAGCAAACAATGCTACTCGGTTGATACTATGGCCTATAAGTATTGGTTTAACGCGCCATGCCGCTCACTTAGCTATTGCCACCCCGTGCTAGGTTTTGTTCACCATGGTGGGGTTAGCGCAGCCACGTACAAGGTGCGTGGGACTAAAACCTGCCAAGGTATATACTCTTGAACCGTCCAATTGCTCGTATAGCACCCCGTAAACCTGTACAATTTTCACTTACCCGCCGGACTTTCCATGGCTTAGCCTGATTTAGCGCCTTTCTGGACTATGCGGAGAGAAAACGCGCACTACGCTATCGCAGCGCGTGCTCGTAACCTGCAGAAATCGTTAACGCTGCAACCACCCACACCATTTTGTGATTTGCTATTGCTTCTGGCACACGCGCTGCGATATCGTGGTTACAGGTAATAGAGACAGGTTCTATTGCGCCGTTATCGTACTACAGATCCAATTGAACTTTTATTGGTATTTACCCCGACCTGCCTTTTGCCCATTCCCCCGTAACACAAAGAGAGCCTTCACATACTATGGCATTCTTGTTTAAGCGAAACCCGAAGACACCCGGTGAGGTGGTGCGACTGTTGAACGAGCAGGTTGCCAAGATCGACACCACCAACGATAGACGAAAGGTATGTAAGCGAAACTTTTGCGTGGATCCGTACTAACCACCCAGGCCCAGGACGAAGCGGCGAGATACTTGAAACAGATGAAACTCATTTTACATGGCGACGATGAAACGGATCCCGTGCCCGACCAGATTGCGCAACTAGCGCAGGAGATATATCAGACGGACACTTTGTTTGTGTTGGTGGACCACCTCGGGAGCTTGGACTTTGACTCGAGAAAAGACGTGGTTACCTTGTTCTCCTCGTTGCTCCGACGGCAAATAGGGAGCCGTGCTCCCACCGTGGATTATCTCTTGTCCAAGCCTAAGATCCTCCTTTTGCTCCTAAAAGGCCCGGAAAATCCAGAAATCGGCTTGGTCTGTGGCCAGATCCTCCGCCACTGCATCAAGTTTGAAGGAATCACACGGTTCGTACTCCAGGAGCGCTGTGTCTGGAACTGCTTTCAGTATTGCCAGCTCAGCACGTTTGAGCTCGCAACCGACGCCTCCAACATCCTTTACGACCTCCTTACCGTGCACAAGAAACCCGCCAGTGAGTTTTTAACGCAGAACTACCAGTACGTCACGCTCCACCTCAACCGGCTCATTCAGCTGACAAACTACGTCACCAAGCGCCAGAGCGTGCGCTTGTTGTCCGCGTTAATCTTGGAAAGACAGAACCACTTCTTCTTGAACAAGTACGTGGACGACCCCAACAACCTCAAAGTTGTCATGCTTCTCCTCAGTGACAAGTCCAAGAATGTTCAGATCGAGGGCTTCGACATCTTCAAAGTGTTTGTGGCCAAGCCCAAAAAGGAAAAGGCCATCTTAGACGTGTTGATCAAGAACAAGGAGAACTTTATTAAGTTCTTTGAAAATTTCGTCATCGAACGCAGCAGCGGCAACCTGACGTTGATCGAAGAACGCGACTACATTCTCAGCGAGATCAAGAACTTGCCTGACATTGAGCGGAGATCCAGTGTTCCCCTGGTGTCTCAAGAGGCTGACGAACAGGTGTATGGCACCGACCCTTAGACGGTTACTTTTTTTAAAGAAAAAAATAGTGTCGACAGATTACGGAAAAATATGGAGGTTGTAACATTATTCCTAGGGATATGGTGTTGCCAGACTTGCATGTTCCTGTCATATGCAAAGTTTACACTCGCACTCTCAATGTATGGATCCATAGTTACTAGACAACCAGCACTGATAGGAAATGCGGTAGAATAACAACCCCTACTGGCCAGCTACACGCGGCTTCTACTGGTATATACTTGGGTGTACGCGGAACGGGTGAACTTAAACTACGGTCCAAACCTGAAAAATCCCCGTCAAGTCACCAATGTTCGTAATACACATCAATTCACTAGACACTCTAGGTTCTATTGAAACTAACCGAATACACTCCTCCGACTCCTGTAATTCATAAATTCCTAAGTCTCTGCTTGACCACTCCGAAACATTAGAACCCAAACATATTTCCCGCCTCATCTCCATATTATCCAGACCACATTTCCACCTCTATTTGGAAAGCGCGGTGACTTTCTCGTCGAAACGGACACTCTTTCTCCTGCCAGTCGGAAACTCGTCTGGGATGCCCAACTCGATCTCGGTCTCGCCTGCTTCCTTTGATTTGTCCAACATCTTCCTGATTTCCTCCTTGCTTTCGCCCTTCATGGCACCGGCGGAGCTCTTGCGTCTCTGGGTGGCCTTCTCGTCCTCCTTGCACTTGTTGCATGCACACATAAACCCCCAGTTGACACGTAATTCGCGCTTACGCTGCGCAACCGAGTGCGTTGGCGAGATGTATGTGGTGGTTAACTCTTCGCCAGTCTTGATGGCGCGCTTGGCGTAGACCTTGATCCCATCAGTTCTCTTTGTACCCCACTTCACCGTCACGTTCGGGTTGCAGTTGTGGTTGAGGTGCGACTGGGTGAGGAACAACGAGTTGTCGATATTATTGATGTTGTACGTACCCAAATAGTGCAAGTACTCGTCGTACTCGAGCGGGCGGCCCGGGAAACATGCGTTCAACTTGACCAAGCCCTCCTTCCACAAGATTTCCTGCTGCTCCCCCGCAAACAATGCTCCGCCAGATGCGGAGTCAAACGAGCCTGAAGTCGAATCGAGCGCCTTGTAGCGGATCGCCTGTGAAACTCTCGCCATTGCGGCAAACTGCTGCGCCTTTAACCCCGTCTTGTCCAACACGATCTGCGCATGTACGTGTCCCACACCGTAGAGCGCCGTCCAGCTCTGTTCAGAACAGTACTTCTCGAACTTGTCCCAGGCAATCGAGTCCACATACACCTTCTTGGAGGAGGCCGACGGGTTGTACACGGAGTGCTTGGTCTGTGCGTGTGTCTTGTCGGCCTTTTTGCAGTCGAGCGAGCACCACATTTCGGGACACGTGTTGCAGTCGAGGCCGCTGAGGATCTGTACACCCGATGCGTTTGATCGCGTGTGGAGCGCGCGTGAGCAGTGCGTGCACGCTTTTCCCGCGCGCACCAAGTTGACGTTCGCCAACGGCGGCACAAAAAAAAGTTGAGTCTCCTCCCAGAGCAAGGCACCTTCCGGGATTGGCTTTGTCGCGTAGAGCCCCTTCCCACTCCTTTTCGTGCTCTGCAAACGCACAAGTTCCGGCAACACCAAGTCGGGCGTTACGGACGACTGGATCTCGTTCGCATAGCAATACTGGTTGGATGTCGTGAGCAAGCCCTGGTTCTTCATCACCGTCTTGAAGCGCTTTTCCGACAAGGTCCAGTTCGGGTGAGCCTTTTTGACCAAGACATGGAGCTTCAATGCGCCAAGCGACTCAGTTGCGGAGTCCTGCTTCCATATCTTGATAACTTCGTCGATCACCTGGCGTTCGTGTGGGTTCACCGGCGCGGTTGATTCTGGAGCAGTATCTTTGTCATTGATCGTAAGGATCTCAATCTTGGGGAGTTCAGCGGGCATTATGGGTTTGTTCCAAAAGTGTTAATGGGTAATAATTGATTATTTTGATGCATGTGAAAAATTTCAGCTCAGATGCTTAAAGCGTAAAGTGCAGGAGACAGAATAAGTCACAAGATGGTGGAATGAAGTTGGTAAGCTCCTATGGTCTCACATATATTTTATATCACTTTTTACATCAGTTTTTATATCACTTTATTTAACATTCTATATTACGTTCTATATCACTTGTTATACTGTATATTTTATATTATGGTTCATCTGGACTTCTTGGATCCCACCCTATAGAGGCGTGCGTAAAACAGTGGCCAGACTTGAGGTTTACGAACCAGGCAGTGAAGCTTTTGAGAACCCAAGTATATAGTGAGGCATATATACGATCCATGCCTATGCAATAATGGAAAGCCCTTTCATTATATGTCTTTTCTCCAATCCCTCTTGCTCCCACGCAAGTACATCCCCTTCGGGAAACACTGCGGCTCAACTCTGGCTGAGATCCGAGCCCCACTTTAAACCTGAGTGCGATATTGCCATAGAACCAGACCCAGAGTACCATACACCATTACCATGAAATTCACTAGAAGCTCGTTCAAACTCCTTCCGAGAGGGGCTCGCCGCACCCAGAGGTTTGCCAGTACAGCCCCTGTCCAGCCAAAAAGATGGTCGCCATGGCTTCTTTACGGCTCGATGTTCATCGCGGGTGGCGCCACAGCACAAGCGTTGCCGTTGTTCTCTCTCTTTGAGCTCTTTTTAGAACCACTTCCGGTTCCAAATACCAGAGAAGCTGAGACCTATATTGCTAAGATCGAATCCAAGCTCCAGACGCTTCCATTGGTGCGGAAACTCTCTGCGGACCCAGCCTACACTGCGTACCGCGCATGGCAGGGGGTGGACTCTAACGTGTTGGAATCGTCGATGGTGGGCGGCACGCTCTCGGTCCCCGGTGGATTTGCCGTGAAGCCAGTCATCTTCATCAACGAAAAGACCTGCGAATCGGTCACGGTGGTGCATGTGGGCAGAAGGTTGTGCGGGTATCCATTCTTAGTCCACGGCGGGATTTTGGCAACCATTCTAGACGAGGCGTTCAAAAAGACCGCAGCGGTTTTGAGATTTGACGGGGACAAGGCAAAGGTCAAGACGGATAAGTTGACCTTGAGCTACAAGTTTCCAACTCTCGCCGATCAGTTCATTGTCGTGAAGGCCAACTTGGCTGGGGACGAAACGGGGGAGCTTACCATCAAGGGTGTGGTGGAGAATATCAGGGGTAGGCCGCTTGTGAAGGGTGAACTTGAATTCAAGAGCCCTGCATTGGTCGCCAAAATCTCCAAGAAATGGTATTTTCTCTACTTACGCTAGGAGCCAGTCATCTAGGGTTTGAATCACAAGAGGAGAAATATATCCCGTAGGATAGGGCAGAAGCACTGCAACCTGGAGGGGGCTTGGAGATGACCGATGCGTAGAATTTTAACCGGGGCATATTTTGCCGAAATTAAAACCCAGTTGTACGTTTCTACCCTGAGCGATCATTACAGACTGGGGATATTCAGAGCCCTATGTTATTTACTCAAATAGACATCCAACTTATCAAGTCTTTCCCTGACTGGGTCAAACGAGGGCCGGACATACAATCAAAGCAACGGTGCAGCATTCTTGTAAGTCTATTCTCTTTCTGGCTCTCTTCACCTCTAATTATCTGTCTTAAACCTCTAAAGTATATTCCACCTTATAAACCTCTACGAAATTATGCCGATGTAATTGTCTCTATTCTATGTGTAATAATCCCCCATATTATATCTCAGCCTTAGCTCGGAGTCGGAGATCATTTTCTAATAATCACTTATAACTTGGGGAATCATAATGTCAAATCGTACCTCGTTGCCAGATCCTCCAAGGGTCTTGCGGTGGTCAGTGTGATTATCGGTATTCAGAATAACTCCTACGTTAGCGAAATTAGAGCTTTCGGTAACCCCTGCGTTCATTCACACATATCCTTCGTCGTGAGTCTTTACGTGTTGTACCAAGTTATCACATCGAGAAAAGCCCTTGTTGCAGACCTTGCAAACATACGGCCTCTCGGCTGTGTGAACACTTCTGAAATGCCGTTTGAGATGCTCGCGACGGCCAAATGTCCCTCCGCAAATCCTACACGCATGTTGTCGGACTCTTCCAGTCGATTCATCCCCTTCTGATGCAAAAGTGTCTTTCTGTTTCTTAGAGCCAGCTCTTTGACGTTTCGTAGCGCGGTTATTCCCCGCAGATGGCATGTTGATCGTTGGGGCCCGACGACCCCTACGAACCGTGGTTTGGACAATCTTGGAGTCTGGGTATTGGTCAATGTCAAACTCTGCCAAAATCGCGTATTCTGGAACCACTTTAATCATCGTGTTGTCACATAAAAGAAATTTTCTGTGGTCACTGCCCTCCCGCATCGGTTTTGCAATCTTACCTTTCAGTTCTATTTTCCTCAACTTCTGGCCATAATTTGTTTTTGCGGGCAAACTACGGTGGCTACGGTCTGCAGCCCACGAATCACATTGTTTTCTCTCAATCCACTCTGGGTCTGAATCAATCAGTGCCGATTCCTCCTCGTCTGATCCTCCTACCTTCCATCTGAGTGTGATGAAAAAACACCTGGCCTCTTGGGGTAGTTCGGGCTCTTGAATGGCTGTGCTGACGTCCGGAGAAGAAGCCTCATTTACCAGGGGAGAAGACACAATCTCGACAGATACCGAAGGAAAGATAGACACCAAAGGCGCCGACACATGGGTAGCCACCGAAGATGGTGGAGGAGAAGTTGCCGATAAAAATAATGAGAGAGAGGTAGTTGGCAGAAATGGTGACAGAGGGTCTGGAGTTGTAGACGGCAGAAAAGAAGCTTTCGCTAGGACTGCCAATGGACTTTCAGAAGTCGTATTTTCTTCAATTTCAGTACTTACTGTCTCTCCATCGGTCGCCAGTTCGTCCAGCGAATCGACGACATCCTTGTCAAGCCCCGCTCCGTCAGTTCCCATATCGCCTCTCAGCAGAAACTCCTTAGAGTTCATGTTGTTTGTAAGCGAAGACTCAAGCGTTCTCTCGCAGAATTCGAACAGCATAGTCGAAGGACTAGCACAGGTCTCGCTCGTTTCCCCGTAAATCGAGGGGGTGGGAGAGTCTATTCCCCAGAACAGCGACGAAGCAGAATCAAACGAGGATCTCGAGTCGTATGCTTCGGGCAGTTCATTTCCTGAGTCGCCAAAATTCGCCATACGGCCTTCGGTCAAATTACAGTAGTCGGTATATGCTCCTGGGTCGTTAGACCCAAGGCGATTGACGAACGTCGGCGATATCACCGGGCTGTGTAAGCCATTGGCTCGCGGTATATGTATTTTCCGAGGCGCCTGCGAAAAATCATAGGGGAGCTTCAAACTGGCTGGCGGTGTCATCACGAAAACCTTTCTGGGATCAATTGTTCCGCTAGAGAACCCAAGGGGGTCCATGATAGTTTGGGGCGTATCCTCCACGGGTGAAAAGATCGGCGACGGGTGGGGGGCAAGCGGAAGAAACTGCCGTAAGCCAAGAACAGTGGCACTGGAGAGTTCGTGGTGTAATGTGTATGTTGGGGCTGCGATATCAATACTAATCATTATCGCAAAGGCCTAGGTGGAACTTTAGAGGACAGACATTTAGAGAAGCGGCGGGGAATCCCGCAACGGTATATATACAAAATATGTGGCAAAAACTGGTTCTGGTATTCACGAATAGATTGTTCGCATCATCAAGATAGTAAAATTGAAGCGCAGATCAGTTGCACCGCAATGGGGATAAAGTTGATTCGCAGGAGTATAACTAATTAGCTTCATATAAACACTGTAAGCGCAGGGATAGTACTACAAAACTGATCATCGTCTAAAAAAAAATATTGAAAAAAAAACTAGCTTAACTGAGTTCTAGCGGTCGATTTCATGTTAGGCTGATCTGCTGCTGGGAAAGAAAGTTGAAGAGAGGTTTTTTCAGCGCCCGTTGCTGTAGCTGCGAGACTTGACGGACTATGCTGCATAATTGGCATCAAACCTTTGCACGCGATGCAGGAAGACCGCCCCAGAAACTTTTGAAATGACTGGGGGGTGAGATCCCCAGGTGTAGTCTTGCCGGCAGACTAGCTGCGCCTGAAGGTCTCAAGCTAGCGGAAAAATTAGTTTCGTATCTGTAGAAGGCTTTAAAAATAGGTATGTAATCGCATAAAGAGTATCAACTCTTACTCTGGCGATAGGTTGCATCGCGATATACTCGTATTCGTGTAGCTTCTTCTTGATGTGTCATAACATCAGGTTTCTAGAGAACACGTGGATGAATTGCGACTAAATCTTCGCCGAAAGCAACTCGCACCCAGTTGTGGCCACGATTACATCATACGATTAATTGATTGACCATTGCCCAGGTGCGTGTTGTGCATCGGTTTAGGCTTTGAGATTATCGATACCATGCTCGCCGTGTAGGAATTTAGATAGTAACCGATGGGAGGTAAGATTCCGCATAATTGCAGATCTCGTTGCTAGTGAGCATCAAGCCTTGGTCTCTGGAGCCCCTACCCTGCAGGTCCGATCGGCTATTTACTCAATGTGGTAAAAACTGTGTTGGTGCAGAATATACTTTTTGGTGACGACTATCTGATTCGTGTATTTTCCTACATGACCTACGTCTCTGCTGAAAGCTGGAAATACGGCAATAGAACTGGTGATTTCCCCGTTTTCTGAATCTAGCCGGGGGACCGAAGTGTAGGATAATGACTTCAAGAGAGAAATGCATAATTATAGCTTAATCGACATTGTTATGCTCGGGTCGGTCAACCCCGGCATATTCTCTATATATTAGCATGAGTCGTGCTTTTGCAGATATGCACATGTCTCTTCTGTTGGTTACTGAAGTTTCAAACCGAATTGCCTCGGGAAGATAGGTGTACTAAGCCGATGTGAATGCCTAAATTGTTGGCTAGACTATGCCTAAGCAATAAATAAACTCTAGAATTGACGAGTACGGAAAGTCGTATTGATATGAAAGGATCCACACGTGCCAGTGGCTCACTCCCTGCCCGTAAAAGCGACTGCTAATTGGTTAGGAAAGCTGGTAGCATATCCTCGTAGATTCGATAAGGAGGGTCGTTATGAGCTCAAGACGGAAAAGAGAAGGCTCCGCACGTAATTACCGATGATCCCCTCTCCTCCGTAATTACGTGTAATCTCTTGGCAAGCGGAGGCAGATCTGGTGACACGCACATTGTAGATCCCCTGTAGATACTTCTTTCGAGCAATCATTAGCAGACCTCCTAAAGTTTTGTAGTACATATATAGTTTAGCTATGACGTCTGTTTTGTAGCTGGAAAGCACAACCCTTAGCCACACTGAAGCGTATCGAAACCAAACAATATCGCATGTTACTGGAAAAGGGGGGTGCCTGAGGTGTATCTATGGCTCAGACGGCAAAATTAGGGAATCTTTCCCGTCTCCTGCTATATTTCGTTTGCGACCCTTGATCTATTTGTGTACAGCCAGCCAATGGCATGTGAGGTTTGGCCGTTCCCCGCTCGCCGTGAATCCTCGGGTTTGATCCGCCGTGGATCGAAAGATGCGAAATTAACTAGAAAAGTTAAAAAGACGCATGGTTTCGCAGCAACATGCCCAAACTATTCCATGTGATTGAATGGGGTATTCCTCTTATAGCTAGTAGAGGTTTTTCATACACCTATTACACTTTTCAAGTCCGACAAAATGTTTGTGAAAAGTCTTAATAAGCTGCTAGTGCCCTATCTAATTTCACGTTGGCCAGAAAAAAAATAGCAAATTAACGGTTATTTGGGTGTATAAATTTGTTTAAGAGAGGAAACATGCATAAAAACCACATAGTAAGGGTTTTACATCTTTTGCTCATACTCCTGTATTATATAGGCGAATTATAGGCAAATGGCGCCATCAGATAAGTGGATACACATGTAAGTTTCAAGACACTTGGTATACGCAGTGAAATCACGAGCTCAGTGGATATGCACCATAGTGCTTTGAAAGTGGATACTTTAAACGATAAAGTATTAGAAAGTCCTGTTGTAGTCTATCTAGTAGGTAACAGTGGCTTTCTATTATCTAAGGGAGCATATCGTTGATTACGTCATACACTAAATAGGGACATGGGATGACGAGAAGGTATAAACTATAAGGATAACTGTATCATGCAACTACAGATAGGAACTAAGATTCAGGCGAATTGAAGGACATCAGCGACATAGATTATGCAAACACTACCAGTATTCAAAATAGCAGTTCAAGTATCCAGATTCCATGCAAACTATTATGCATAACATGCCAACGATGAAAAATCCAACGAAAGTGTTTATTTCTTGAAAAAAAAATGAATGGGAAATTCAACCTACTTCTAATTTGGGTAAATTATATAATAGGAAGATTGGGTTGGCATCTGTACCTGATGTTAATTCTCTCTATCTATATTCCTCTGCAGCAAACACACCATTGCCTTCGTAGACTTGAATCTAGACTACCCGTGACTGGCAATTAATACGTTGGTTATGCTAAGTATCTCTTTAGGGAAGAAAGGTCAGGTCTACTAAACAATTGGATCCTTCAAATCGCTCGATTGCTAAATTGGGAGCATGCATATGCGCTCACAGAATGATACTTGCATTATCCCATATCAGGTGCATGGGAGAGTCAGTGGTTTTCTAGGGAAATATACGAGCATATAGTGAAATAGAGCGATCTACCGAGTGCGCATAAGCTTACTGTCTGCATCTTCTGAAAGTCCCCGAGTATTAGCTATACACCAGGTCATGGGTGGCTGAAGCGACAATGTCGATACATGTAAGCGACTACTTCATTTTCACCTCCCAACTTCGTGCTCCTTATGGAGTTTTAGACACAGCGTATTTCAGTTCCAGGCTTAACCACGCCGAGTAACAGTTTCGAATATCGAGCCGTATCTTCAACTCGCTAATCTCCTTGTATTGTCACTGTGTCTCTGGTGACGGTGGAAATTTTGCATGCAAAACTTCCGGCATGAAACGCCGTACATCTATCTCATCTCAATTTGTTCCACTTGTGCTCGATACTGTATCCATAAACCTCCGGTTAAGCCCTATCTGAAAACCCCAATATGGCTATCTAGTTTAGTAAAAGATCTATGACCATATTATAAGCTTCCTTAATAACTCATTGTACACGTAGGCCAAGATGAAATAGACCTGAAAGTCTCTAGGACCAGGGCTGTCAGTTAAGATCTCTTCGGCGTAGCATAATGTGCAGGACGTTCTACAACGAGTTAGGGAGAAGGAATGGGGAAAAGTGGGTGATTCGGCTTATTGTTTAGATTGGGGGTTACAAAGGTATCAAATTATAAATGTCGCTCATATTTCTCCTCGGCCAGCCGTGTTGCGCGGTACAGGGCATCTAGGAGTTTACAGATTGAAACTGAACAGCCCAAATCTGTGGACCATCCCCAAGCATAGTGTTCGTAACAGTGCGGTGACGGTAGCGTGCAGTAACATATACCCTAGTGATGCAGCATGTAATGCAGTGCGTTCTCACACCTCATGCGTGTCGGCGTTCGATGCATCCTTTCAAACCTGTTGAGCTTCCCAAGAGATACGAGACACTGGTCCAGTTTTGCATGATTATGCGGGAGTGCATCACCTCATCGCCGTTGGATACTCTCATGATTCACGCCAGGGAAAGGTACCAGGTGTATGGCACATGTTTTGTAGCACAGTTTTCAGTCTTCCGAGAACGGGGCAGAGTATCAACGTCTGGGAAAGTCCACCTCTGAGAACACAGTCATTAAAGTACAACCTTTCTAGATGCAGAATTCTCCATAATGGTGTAGGGAGTGAATAACCTCTTTCCCAAGTTCTCTCTGATACGAACCATTTTACGCATAGAAATGTTTTGGAAACTGTATACCGAGTTTTAACCTGAGGGCTAAACAGGTACAAATCAGTTCTAGAAGGACGCTACAGGACCAGTCAGAACGGTTTGTTGGTGGTCCAAAGGCATTTCCCTCCCTGCAGAAACTGGTATTGTTCGGAATGCACCTGTATGCAATATGGGCCACATCGCAATGCGGAACAGGTATTGCAAAAAGGCGGGTTCTGCAAGCCTCGAATTCGATAAAAGCTGTGGAAACCTTGTTGGGTTTCCTTGGTGTTCGTTTGTGTGTTATGGACATCGTTAAACTGCAGAGAGAAATTCCGGAGCGCAGCTATCTTAGAACTAATCAACGGTCCAATTACCGATGATGGTTAGTGCCATACGAAGGGGGGTGGCTGTTTCACTACTAAAAACGAATTTTCAACTGAAATCCCCCGTACCGTTGGAAAGTTTGGTGATAACGAATGGTGAAGGGTACCGCTATTGTTTATGGACAACGATTATAAAAGCGCAGTGGCTTTTATTGAAATCTCACTAGAGGATCCATGGTGCATCTCCTAACGTGTCTATTGTTCCAGGACCGCCTTGTTTCAGTCCCTTATTGTATCACTTCCAAACTTTTGAGTAAATCAGTCTTTTTTTTCTAAATTAATTTCTAAATATCGACTCCCTTCAGCATTTTGTGGACCATAGGTATCTCGGATTGTCTCTGCATTTCTCTTCTAGCGCTTTTTAAAGCTTTGTTTATTCCTCGTTATATTGCGTGGTTTTGGAAATTGAAACTCTTATCTCGTATTTTTCGTCAGAGTGCACTCTAACCTGCAACTTGAACTATATGACCCATCCATAACATATATTAACTAGGGGATTAGAATTTCCAAGTATACATTCCGGAAAAAGGCTTTAGCATACACCCTCTCTGCTTCTTCTAGCCGGTGCCTCAAGGAGATATTACTTTGCTTTACTCATCTATACTGCTCTCTACTAGCTTTTCTCTCATAATTCATTGACCGTTAAACCTTTCTATCCCTAAAAGCAATGCTAACTGGAATTTTCCACCTCTTCATGGACCTTGACATGCTGGACCAAGTTGTCCGAGCGCGAGAAGCCCTTGTGGCAAAGCTGGCACGTGTAGGGCTTTTCCTCTGTGTGAATGCTGCGGAAGTGTCTCTTTAAGTGCTCCAGTCGGCCAAACCGCCCGCCACAAACCTTACATTCGTGTTGGCGGTTCATAATATCCTCTGGGGTCTTGGCCACGCGACTCAATGGGGCCTTGCGCCCTCGGGTAACCTGCTTCTCAATAATCTTTGATTTCGGATATTGGTCAATATTGAAACGTGATAGCACCGAATATGGCGAGGTAACCTTGACAAACTTACTGTGGCATTTCCGTATGGAAGAGCTTGAAACAGCAACTTCCTTGTGTTTATCAGCGGCCTTATTGTAGCGGAACTTGATCATAAACTTGAAGGCTGGCCTCGAGGCCGGCCCCGGGGAACCAAAGGGCTGTAAGAGAAACTGTGACGAGTTCATGTTGTTGGTCAAGTTTAATTCCAAACTCTGGAAGGCTTGGTGGATGTGGAAAGACTGGTCTCTATGTGGCAAGAAAGAGTACTCAGGATAGCAGGGGTACAGCTGGTACGTAAGAACCGGAATGTCAGCTTCCAGACAAGTCTCCTCGCTTTCGCTGTCTGTCAGGCCGGGGGTGGATACCGGCGACGGAAGTGCAAACGAGAGGTGGTACGGGGACGAAGGATATGCAGGAAGCTGTAAATACGTAGTCTTGGGCGAAAAAGGAGGTGAGTGAGGCTTTTTAAAGGACCTACCCGATGGTATCCTGTCGCTCAGCACATAGGACGCGTTGTAAAAGCTGGTATCCAGTGGCGGCACGTCGTAGTCCTGGATGATTACATTGGGGGTTTTAGAGGCAGCTGAAAAGTGAGTAACACACAGGAGTGTGTTAGGAGTGCAAAGCATGAAATGTTGTGCAATGGCCAATTGGTAGTTGGCCGCAATTTCGAGACACCTCGGAAGCGGAATGCGACGCTTTTATAACGTATTCAAATATTTTTAGACCAAAAAAAAATTAACGGCCAGCATGCGTATGGCGTGAAAAGTGGTACCCTTGCTCCATGTTTGCGCTTCTCGGTGGCATTGCATATGCCACCCTCCGCCTGCGGAAATCTAACCGTCCATGTTCACCTGGCCATAAAACTCTTAACGAAAAAGCATTGTATCTTCAGTCAATGCATGCACCTGCACTTGTGCATAGAGCCCCCAGATCGCAGCGCAAGCCTGGCATGAAAATAGATATACGCGCACCCAGACGTTCGTCATGGCCGAGGTACTATGTGGTTCTCGGCATATCCGGATACCTTACCGATGCACAACAGAGCAATTACGCACTACCTTAGCTATAAGATATTGCAAGAGAGTGTTAGGCATCAACAGTGAGGTACGCACGACATTGGGTGAAGGTAAGCACGACATTGGACGGGGATCGACATGATGCACAAGATCTTCGGGACATATGACTAGGATGATGGGGAGTCAAAAGACTACAAATACGTTGGCGTATCAAGATATTTGCGGCTGTGTACGAGATCCCCCTTCGAACCAGATCTACCTTTGAAACGTGGCCAGAAGCAATTGGCCTACTCCGTAGGCAGCTCCTTTTGATCGGCACTGCGCATGTATCGCTAATAGAGCACAATCACCGCAAGCCAAGCTCCTGTAAAGAACCGGCATGAACGTTACGAAGCGTTTGCACGTGATTCATATTCTCAATGGACGAAAGCGCTCGTCAAAAGAGCTTTGTCTCTGATGACATTTCAAAAGACTCTTCCACTACAATGGCGTGGGAGTTTCAAGAGTCCTGTTCGTGGAGACTACAATTTTCACAATGATGTACTAGATAGCCCTATGGTTCAATGAATCCCTTGTACTTGGTCTCTTATCCTTGAGGCTAAAGAGACGTGATCTGAAGCTAGGGGATTAGGGATTCCTGTAAAATAGGACGTCCAAGATGGATCTTCATCCCCATAGAATCTGTATTGGTACCCGAATAACTAAATGGTGTAGGCGGAATTCTCGTTGGAAAACAACACAAACTCTGTTCGGCAATCGCGGGAAAGCTTCAAAACAACCCTGTACGAAAAAAATCTATGCATTTGGCTAACTGTGCATCTTTAAAAGCTTCTGCGAAATAACGTAACTTTAGAGTTACTGTTTTGAAAGCCAAAACACGAAACTGCAACTGCGTACCTGCGATAAAGGGTTGCCATCATGAAGTTTGATGCTCAGATATTTGGGTTCCCACGTCGATTTCCAGCATCTATTGTGGTACACCTCTTGACTTTGCGACCAATGTTGGCCTGTTATTCCTTGGGCTATTTTCAACCCTGTGACACTGGATCAAAAGGTACGGCCAAAGGCATATAGTAAACACCCGACAATCCCGGCCCACATTAGGGAGTACTCTCGTAGTACTTAAAAATAAGGGCTAGTCTGAAAAGACTATTAGTATTAGATCTACTGCTTAATTTCCCGCCATAAACTTCTATTTTCGGTGGCCTACACCTTAGAAGTGTTTTGGAGGCGTCGATAAGGGACTTACCCTAAGCTAAGTCTTTAGGGTATAAGCTCATATATGTAAACCTAGACTCCGGTTTAGCTTAGATTACCCTCGCGAGACAACTGCTAGTAATTGGGTTGGAAACAACAGAGGGTCTTAAATGATCTGGGAATCTTTCATATGCCGATTTAACGTCTCTCCCGGCACCTGTTAGCCGGCATGCTCTGGTACTCTGAAAAATCACTTCGTGGCTCATGTTAGACCTGCAGGTTACTGCACATCTATCTCGCATGAAGTTCCTGTGGCATGGGCACGTCATGGTTTTTGTCTCGACTGAACAGAAAAGCCTCAGGTCAGATGCACACGTACGTACTCGCTTAGAAGCTGAGCCAATGCCGCTGGGGAATATTCAAAAATACCCACAGCCCCGCAACGCCTCCTGATCCTCGGCTGAGTCGGCTCTAACTTCAAGCCATCTTTTCTTTGAAAAGTGTGTGGATTACCTATCTGCATGACGGATATTTAAACTGTATCACGTTTCATTAGCGCCTTAGATCAGTTCATTTTGAGCACGGTGACTGGGTTCAACGACCGTATCGTTTTTGTCGGCTTGGCAGAGCCTCTCCTTCCAGTGGCATTGAGCCTCTTCCTTGCCGTGGACTGTACGAGTTCGTAAATATCACGCCTGTTAAGCCTCCTTCGATAGACGCAAATGAGAATACGGAGGTAGCGGAAGTAGAGCTGAATCTTCCGTGCCCTAGCAAAAAATAGTCGTGCTCATAGCATACCTCTTTGCGTGTCGTAAAGAAAAAATGCCTCCATCCAGTGGAAGGAGCCGGCGGAAGACAACGCGCATGCACGTCTGCTGGAGGTGTCAAACAGGGAAAGAGGAGCCGGACGAGCGGCCGTTTGGCAACTGCCTCTGTACCCTGGCTTCTCGCCCCAAACCGACACTGACAGAGGGTAAAAGGCCACTGTAAAAGTAGATTTCAACCCTAATCTTCAATTAGATAACCAATAGAGATATTTACTTCATGTAACACCAGCATTTCTAACCTAAAAGTTGGTATATTTAGTTACACTTGGAGCTCTCTAGCGTAACATTCGTACCTGTGTCTGAAATGCGCAGCTAAGCCTTTCTTATACGTTAGAGTCGCTTCCTCCGAGGGTCCCATGAACCTCCGTTAGTGCCAACACACATTTCAATAACGCCTGCTTGCATACGGCCTTGACGTCAGATACATACACAAGTTTCCTATGGGCGCCGCGGCGTGGTGCAGCCAAGCCAAGGCTGGGACCTGAAATTTCAACTAAGCGGGATTCCGTGACTAAACCACAGACTCTGGTGCCATAAGATTTAGCTACTCAGGGCATGATGATGCATATACATGCGAGTTTCAAGTTAAATATATTGTTGCGATCTATATATAGCTTCCTTTCTAATCCCGGTTATATTTCTTGGCTTAATGACGTAGTCAATACTTACATATAAGTTTATCTTGATAGACATGTGCTGTCAAGTTTGTGTTTGAGAATTCTATATCAATACATATATACATTAAATATATTAATCACCCAGAAGACGAATTAAGTATTTATATACGTAGGTATACAATTTTAAGAACGATAATTATTCTTAATGTGTCGGTATTATAATCATATGTATATATGAAGGGCTATATGTAGGATATTTAGTATTGTACACCATGACTGTACTTAACTAACAATTTTGCAAACTTTTTGTGTCCCGGAACAGGTTTGGATTTCTTAGACCCAAATCACTAACATGCGTATAAGAGCGATCCATGAAAATACCCATGGGCCATTAAATTAAAAGCTTGTAACTATTGTGGAAAAGAAAAATTCCACCACAACCTGATAATTTAGGTCTGAGGGACCTAGTGAGCAAAAAGATTCAGGTCGTACCCAGATTCGAACTGGGGTTGGTCGGATCAAAACCGACAGTGATAACCACTACACTATACAACCTCTGGTTATCTAAAAGATAGTTCTCACACTATATACAATGGTACTTTTAAGAGCAATATGTATGTACTTCTGAATTACACTTCAACTGGCCGTTCAGTGTGGTAGAGAGGGGGATGTGCGAAATTCATAATATCTCGTTCTTACCTTTGTACCCGCAGTGAGTATCCTCCTATATACCATTGTTCTCTTGAGAAAACCTTCCGGCATGTGATAAAGTTATCGCATGATACGTACCTTTAACGCATTTACAAATTTTACGTATCGGCATAGGACATAATTTATAAGAGCGACAAGCTCGTTTTTATAAAAAAGCAGTTAGGGACAAATTTACCCATCCAGCCGCGGAGCTGGAAGACTGATTAGAATAAATTCCAGGGTATTGCTCTTTTTGTTACATTCACCTATAACCCTTCGCATTCCTGGCGGAGAAAGCTGTGTTACCCAATTGGAATAGCTGCAGATACAATGAACAATTTTCTTAGTTACGATACCAAACGGTACCTCAAATACCCCAACAGCTATTAATACATCCTGGTAGACCTTACACATGCTATATATCACCCACCTTTCTTGAACGGATACTTGACCTTGGTTTCACATAACGTCGGAGGATCACCCACAAGCGGATCGTGTTGAACATGTCCTACGAACCAGTACCGTCTATGATTGGCGTAGAAATCCTGCCAACCCCGGATATCCTCTAGGGCTTCGTCTAAGTCCAAGCCTCTTAAATCGTAGGTTAACTCGTCTTTTTTGCGGAAACAGCCCGAGCTGAAGGCTCGTGCCGCATCCTTTCCTGCGAAAGCAGAATAAGAACCCCTAGGTCCGTACACTGACCGTGATACAGTGACATCGTAGAGCTTACCGTTGATCCCGACGTAGATGGGCTTGGTAGGGTCGGAACCATCGAAATAGGAGAGCTCATCCATGGTGAGATTCAAGTAGCTACCAAAGATCTGAAACTGGAGGTAACGCGGATCGGTGAGACGGCCCTCATAGCCCCAGGTAGGTGTGGAGGTGAACCACCAGGAGAAGAAGGCGTTGGCAAGGAGAAGGCCTCCCACGATTCGAACCACATCTAAAAGACCTAATCGCGTGGATTCTTGGGGTATATGTGGGGTTTTAGTAACATTTGGAGGCATAGCAAAGGGTTAGGATGGGTTTGGCAATGTAACGGGGATATCTAGTTGGGAGTGATTGAATTTTAGAAAGTGGTTCCACTGATGGGATTTTTTTTGAAGCCGCAGACCTGCAGAGAAGCAAACGTTTTGAAGGTGTGGGAGTTGATCGAAGATTTGACTTTTAATAAAACCAAGATCCTAAAGAGAAGCTTACGTTAAAGAAATTAGAGCATTTTTTAGGAAAGAAAATCGTATTTCCGATTTTCACTCAGGTAGACTATAACTTCGCTAGAATCTTGATTTAAAATAAACCCGTTTCTGGGAACGGGATTGTGATTTACGGTGAGATCCGACACTAGCCGTATCACCAGTTATATTTTTAGTAATTTTTCATGCCTCATTCTTGAACTAGCTAACTCACCATCCAGATTACCGCCCTTCTACCCAAAAGCTTGTTATATCCCTATCCCAATTATTTGTTGTCTTGTCATTTTCTATATCATTTACTTTATCCGGTTGTGATATCATTTACTATACCTGAATTGCATTTGCATCCCACATCTACCGGTATGTATCATATCACCCAACCCCACAACATTTAAATCTATCGTTTCCACTCATAGGCATTTCATTTGGCTTCAATTAAAGACCCCCAGGGTATCTTTTATTTTGGTTTCAATAGTTTGTGGATCTCCCGAATTTTGTGTAATCAACCACCGTTTGACCATATTGCCATCGCCTGCTTACGTAGCCGTTGCCTATTCGTAGGGTTTCTCGGTATATCATTTCCCAACCACGCTCTTATCCTCCCACTTGTCAAAGTTTGGTATCTCAAAGTTCGATTTGACCAAGTCAGTCCAGAACTCGTCGTTTAACGCCCAGTAGGACATCTCGAGCGAGTTGGGGTCGGCCAACATGTCGTTGTAGTTGGGGGTGGGCATTATCGGATACACAATTGTGGGTGAGGAGGTGTCGCTGGGAGCAATATCACGCACGTCTTGTGTAAGCGGCATGGGTGAGCGAGTCTGGGTGTGCGCGACGTGGGAGAGCATGTCCAAGCCGCCCGCGGAGGTCTCCATGCGCCATAGTTGACCCTCGGGCATCATAGCTTCGTGACGCGGGGACTCTGCAAAGCCAGAAAAGTCCAAATGTGGCGAGCTGTCGAGATTTGCTCCGAGATCGGCGTTGAGTTCCGTGCTGAGCTTCGACCCAACTTCCTTCCCGATGAGGGTCTTGACCTGCGTTGCGTACGTCTGGATGAACAATGCGAGAACCAAGCGCATCTTGCGCAATAAATTGTGAAGCGGATACGTCTGCACCGAGACGTCGATGATGCTGGAAATCTGCTGGATAGGGATGAGCGAGTCAGTGGGCACGGATTCCCTGATACCTGTGTCCATGGTGATTACGAGATAGCGTAAGCGCAACAACAGCCCCGCGGTGTACAAGATGCGTGTGGAGTAGAACAACGGCATGCTACTAAGTTGCTGTGGCGAGAGCGACATACAATGGCGCAATGAGAGCTGGCACAGGTGGGAGCAACGCGTGATAGCGGCCATCATGTGGGTGCTGTGGATATCGGATACGTGCTCCAAGGACGGTTCGTGGAGGTACGCCTCGACGGAGTAGTAGTACGAGAGAAATTCATCATCGTCTGGCGGGATCGTCTTCTTGAGCTCGTCCAACTCGTCCTGGAGATCGTTCACGATGTAACGGCAACGATAGCTGTTAATGTCGAAGGAGGTGTGGTCGTCTGGCGCGTGTACCGTGAAGTAGATCTTCTCCAACTGGTGGATGAGACGCGCGAACGACGCAATGCTGGCAAGGCTCGCATCGCCACTTGCCTCAAGGCTGACGCAACATTCCTCCAAGTACGCCATCCAACGCACCGTGATGCTCCTGCGCATGAAGAGCGCATTACTCACAGAAACGAAGTAGACAGATAGAACCATTTTTTGACACTCAAGGCTCTTGGGATCCTGGATTGCCATGGGGCGCATGATAGCCCCTTGCTCGCGGTTGAAGTAAACGTATGGGCGGCCCGAAAGCCCGATGTAGTACGGGCGTCCCGAGAGCCCGAGATCTTGCACCATCGAGACGCAAAGCGAGTTGACGAGGTGATAGCGACGTTGGTGGAAGAGCTCGGGGGAGTTGTTCCATACACAGAGCAACAAGAGACACTTGAGGAGCTCGAGCGACTTGTTTCCAATGACAAGCACCTGGTTCGTGATGGCCTTGATGCAGAGGTTCTCGAGCAAAAGGTCACTAGCGCTCGCGTCGCGGAGTCGTTGCACGAGCATCGTCACAGTGTTCATCACCGTGAGAAAGAGAAACGGCTCTGAGGCCCGTAGCTCTGCGAGCTCGCATGTTACTTCCACAAAGTGGTAGCGCGCGCAGATCACGGACTTGTATATTTGGAGCCGCTCTTCAGCCTCTGCGAGCGTCAAGAGTCCCAGATCGACTATATCCGGCTTGTGCTCGCTGCTCAAGAGTGCGATACGCTGGTCGGCGACGGAGGTCACGTCTCCGGCGATCTGGGGAAACCTCGCCTGTTGGAAGGAGGTGATAAACTTCAACTCGCCCTCGAGATGTGCGCGCTTCATTGTTACAGACGAGCACCGTATAGGACCACTACTGAAGCGCATACCAGGTGCGTCCGTACGCATATTTGCCCGTGGTGTTTCCATAGCTGAGTCTGGCGGTGTGTTCCTCGCGGCGTGCGCCTCGTCGAGCTTGGACGCGAGAAACCTGACCTGGTTTTCCAAATCTTCGATCCGCTCGCCGTCCTTTTTCTTTTTTTTGCGCGGGATCACCTCGATCTCGCATTTCCGTTCAGTTTTAAGACATCGCGAGCATGGGCCCATGGGTTCGGCCTCGTCTGCCGGCGTGCACCGCACTTTTAATGCGTGGCACGATTTGCACGCCACCGCGCGGCGTGCCTGTTTGACTCGTTCGGTTGTTTCTGGAGAGTTTTCGAAGCCAACCATATCTTCTGATTGTCGCTTAGGCATTGCTAGAAACACTGTGGGATTATATAGCGTGGAGGCTTTTTCGATGTCGGCAATAAGAAAAAATATCAGCCGTTGCGGCCGGCGCAGAGGCTAAAAAAAGAGGAGCGTTTCATGCAGGAGCAGTAAAACGGCATATTGTGTGCAGGAACGGGATATCTCTCAGTCGAGACCCCTTGAGGCTCGTTATGGAAAGATGGGTACGGAACAAACGGAACGACGATGGGAGAGATAGGACCCGGCACCGCCGGAAGCTTATACTCTGGTTATTGCTACCACCCCCGGTAGTGCCAGAGTATTTTAGAATGGCATATTACATAGTTATGGTGTGCATGACGTCACAGGGGTGGATCTAGGAGGAGGTATTTCCGATGCTAATAGATCACTTAGAGGGAATTGCGGGATCGGTCATAAACCATGGAACTCTGTTTGCCTGTGATTATTTAGACCACTGCGGTATAGCCTTTTCGGAAGGGGTAGAAAGACATGCGTTGTGACCGTGACCGGTATACATGCCACATTCAAAATATGGGGCTGAAACCGTTATAAATAGCTTTAGCTGGAAAGACCCGTAAGTTTTAAGGACTTTATGTGGTATGGAGCCTAGTTTATGCAGCTACACCCTTCTTCCGAGGGGAAGCTAAAACTCGCCTGGCAGCATCCCTCCGAGCTACGATTTTTTTATGAAAAACGATGAATTAAATTAGTAATTTTAGAAGGTATGAAATGAGATTTTAGACCAGAGGTTTTAACCCTTCATGCAAATTTTAGCACCCTCTTGGAGACGAGCAACGTCCTGAGGGGCGGCAGGGGCAGCGACAGCACCCTTGCGGTTGTGCTGCATATGACTTTGGACCAAGTGGCCAGCAGCCAAGGCAGAACACAACGAAAGCTCGGCAGCCAACACAGCGGAGGCTACAATCTTGGCCAACTGTCTGGCATTGGCACCCGGCTCGGTTGGGTGTGGGCCACGGACACCTAACAAGTCCAACATGGCTCCCTGTGGCTCCAAAATAGTACCACCGCCGATAGTACCGACCTCAATGGACGGCATGGATACGGAAATGACCAAGTCACCGCCGACATTTTTCATCAAGGTGATACAGTTGGAGGATTCCACGTTCTGCGCTGGATCTTGACCGGTCGCGAGATACACCGCCGTTACCAAATTCGCAGCGTGAGCGTTGAACCCCCCGATAGAACCAGCCATTGCGGAGCCGATAAGGTTCTTGCTGATGTTCAACTCCACCAAGGCATCCACGTCGGACTTGAGTACTTTTCTGACAACGTCAGCAGGGATACGGGCCTCGGCCACAATACTCTTACCTCTACCCTCGATCCAGTTGATCGCAGCAGGCTTCTTGTCGGTACAGTAGTTACCAGAAACAGAGATGACCTCCATGTCATCCCAACCAGCTTCTTCGGTCATATACTTAAGAGAGTATTCGACACCCTTAGAGATCATGTTCATGCCCATGGCATCACCAGTAGTAGTGGTGAAACGGATAAACAACAAAGTACCCGCCAACGCGGTTTGGATGTTCTGGAGACGGGCAAAACGAGACGTCGAGTTGAACGCCTTCTTGATAGTGTTGGAGCCCTCTTCGGAGTCCAACCAGATCTTGGCGGCACCAGCACGGGCAAGCGATGCGAAGGTCACACAGGGGCCTCTCGTCATACCATCCTTGGTTAAAACAGTTTCAACACCACCACCAGCGTTGATGGCCTTACAGCCACGCATGGTGGAAGCAACAAGACAGCCCTCAGTGGTAGCCATTGGGATGTGGTACGGCTTTCCGTCAATGATCATTGGACCTGCAACACCGACAGGAATCGGCATGTAACCGATGACGTTTTCACAACAGGCACCAAACACGCGATCGTAGTCGTAACCCTTGTACGGGAGACGAGCAGTGTCCAAAACCGAAGCGTTGGCCAACTTAGCAATGGCCTTACGACGAACAACAACAGCCCTGGTGTTATCAGCTAGTTGCTTTTCTAACGCGTAGAGCGGAAGCTTCCCAGCAACAACTAACGACGCAACCTCGTTGTTGTGTAATTGTTTGACATTACCGGCCTTTAAGATATCGGTACACTCCTCCACACTGCGGGGCTCGAACGGGCCGTCTTCGGACTCTTCGTCGCTAGATTCATCGCTGACAAGGGAGGATTCCTTGACGAGGAACTCTTGTGGTGGGGTCATGACCGGAACGGAAGCAACCGACTTGGAGGCTCTACGGGAAGACTTGGCTCTGGAGATGTCCTTTGAAGCAGGAATAGAAGTGGCACGAGCTGCATTGAGGAAGTAGGCGTTTATGGTGACGGAAAAGGCAAAAGCAAAGAGCAAGAACTTGGAGATAAGCGGGTCTCTGATCGAAGCACTGACCTTCTCCAACAAGTAGAAGCAAACGTCGGTGGTTTGCAAGAAGGCACCGGAGGGCACATAGATACGGCTTGGCATTACGGTGACAATGGTACCGGAAGGACCAACGGAGACATGCTTGACAGCAGCCTTAGACAAGCCGGCGACGGCAGCGGTGAGGGAGGAGAGATCGGTGTCGTCGTTACCGTTTATCCACTTGGTACCTAACCAGTAAGCGTGGGTAGCGAAAACAGACGCGAGGAGAGCAACCTTGAGGGAAATCACAGTGGCCCCGCTTGACAACGACAATTTTTCATCGGCCCTAGTGACGCTGTCGGCCACCGAGGCGGAGATGCCGTCTTCCTCGAGCTGGGACTTGAAGTCAGATCTCACACGGATGATGCCGATCTCGAGTTTCAACGCAAGGCAGGCAGCGTAGAAGGTGAAGGTCAAGAGCAAGTCATTGGCCAAGATGAGGGCACTCAAAAGGGAAAAGACACGGAGACCTTCGAACTGGGTGGCGTAGAGCGAGCAGATGAAGAAGGAGAGACCAACAACAAAGTGGTCTCTGGTAATCTTGCCGGTGTTTTCGTACACGGCCTTGCTGATCAATGAGCGAACGTCTAAGACTTGCGACTGTCTCAAAATGGCGGAGGTAAGGAGAGTCTTGTTCTTGAAACCGACAATGGCAACGAGGAATGGAACGCCTTCAGTGATGCTGAGGAACGGAATCTGGACGTCCAAGATCTTGGTACAGGTAGCGAGCGCCAAGATAAAGGCAAAGGTGGAGGACAAGAGGGTGACAAAAGCCATCCAGAACTTGGAGCCCTGTTTCTGCATGTCGAAGAACACAGTAATGACATTGTTCATCATCACCAAGTAAGCAAGGGTGATCAAGGCGATGTCAAAGGTTTCCGCACCGCGTATCAAGCTCTTCAACTTGTCAAGGACTGAGCGTAAACACTCCGCGTACTTGTTGATCCCGTGATGGTGACGGATCTTCCAGGTAGTTTCCCCGGACAGGATATCACCAACGGAGGAGATTTCGTCGTAGTTGACGATCAAGACGCGTTCCGAGGCGGCAAAGCCTTGGAAAGTGCCATTGATGGACGGAATCAGGCGCTCGCCGACGCTCTTGAATTTGAGCGAAGTGATCGCCAAGTGGTTGGCATCTGGGTGCAAGCTCCAGTCGCTAATCTGCTCCCAGCCGTTGTAGTCGTCGGAGCCAGGGGCGTGGTAGAAGGAAACGTCATTGTAGGAGATCCCGCGGCCAACGTACTCCTCAAAGACAGAGAGGTAGGCCACGGAAACAACCAAGGTGGTGAGGAGAATCACGTGGATCGGTTTGTGTGCCGAAACCTCGGCCAAAAAAGAGGCCAACGCACCCACGGTTTTCGTGACAAAGCTTTGCATTCTACCTCTGGAGGGTTAGTATCGATTTGGTGTTAAAACGGCATGTTAGCCGCCAAGTACAGCTCTGCCCGGTAAGCTTTCTCTTTCAAGCTGGCACACAGACCTAATCTACTTACGTTGAAGCCAAATAATATATATGCAAGGAACCTTGTGTACTAGGGATTGACACCGAGAAAGAGAACGTGGTGGCCTATGGAATTTTGAAATAGCCGCCTGTATGGTTTGTGCTGACACCATGCAAAACGCGACTTTTTTTTTCGCAGTCTGTGTATTACATAAGACGCCGAATAAACGACACGAACGATGTGGCGGTGGGAACACGACCTGCAGACGCCGTGCCATGCAGGATCGTGAACGTAATAAAGGAAAATATAACTCATCACTTAGAGGTGGCCAGTAATACAGGAAGGGTTGTTCCTGTTCCCTAAGTTATGTGTACAAGACTTGAAAATATAATAGTGGGTATCTTGACCAAAGGAGAAGGGTGTATGAAGTTTTTTTTTTGGGTGAACAGAGGGCATTTTTCCATTGTTAATTCGCCTGCAGCTCAGAGGAGCGGTTTATATAGGCAACAGGTGCATGTTTTAGCAGCAGAGCCAGAAAGGGTTTATGCCTCCCCAAGTGAATTCCAATAATTTAGCTCCAAGGTCGAAATATCAGAATAATACTGATATCTACAGGCTTGCTTAAGAAATGCGTCTATTTCAAGTCTAAAAGTACAGAGATGTGTAAGTTTGTGGGATAATACAGATACCGACAGCCGGTTAAAACCTGGACAGCTTATTTGATGGAGACAAGCTTGACGTCGAAGGTCAATTCGGAGTTGGCTGGGAGGCCTGGCATGGCCTGCTTGCCGTAGGCCATTGGAGCTGGGATGACAATCCTACGTTCACCACCAACGGCCATACCGACAACACCAACGTCCCAACCCTTGATAACCTCACCTCTACCCAAGGAGAATGCAAATGGCTTACCAGAGGTGTTCTTGTCAAAGACCTTACCGTTCTTCAACTTACCGATGTAACGGACACCGACCTTGTTACCAGACTTGGCGACTGCACCCTTACCGACAGTTCTGTCTTCAGTGACGACTCCACCGGCCAAGGTCTTGACAACAACCTTCTTTTCCTTCTTTTCTTCCTTCTTGGAGACCTCCTTCTTGGCTTCCTTCTTGGTCAAGGTAGAACCGGTCGGGCCCTGTTCCAACTCCTTGGTGAACTGGACAGTCTTTTCCTCTTTCTTACCCTTTTTCTGCTTCTGCTCGGCAACAGGGGCCTCAGCTGAACGCTTCTTGTTCTCCTTCTTCTCGACGATTTCCTGGATCTTGGCTTCGACATCGGCACCTTCCAAGTTTTCAAAGTCAGAGAGGATCTCATCCTCATCTGGAGTCAAGTCGTATTCGTCGTCGGAGTACTCTTCATCCTGGTCTTCGTCAGACTCATTGTCGTATGGGTGTTCGACGTAGTTACCGGTCAAGTGGATTGGGTACGAACCGGTGACCACGAAGTGGATTTCTTCTTCTGGAGAGATGGTCAAGTCCAAAGTCTGCTGGAATTGAGACAAAGGAGACAAGGTACAGATGACAAATTCTTCAACATCATCCTCATCCTCAGAGTCACCCTCAGAGTCCTCCTCGGAGTCTTCCTCGGAGTCTTCCTTGTTGTTTTCTTCGGCCTTGGCGGTCTTGGACTTCTTAACCGGCTTTTCCTCTTCGTCGTCATCAGAGCACTCATCGCAGTCGGAGTCGTCACATTCACCACCGGCAACAGCTCTCTTCAAGATTCTCAAGGTGGATGGAGCATCCTTACCATCAACGGATTCAGGGTCAATGGCAGCCAAGGTGATTCTGATGGTGACTGGGTAGTCTTCGACACAGGCTGGTTGTGGGTCAAATGGCTTCAAGGCCAAGTTGAAAGTGCTTAATGGCAATAATCCAGACATTATGGTATTTTTGTATATGATCCAGTGATGAAGAGGAAAAAGTGGCTCGGGTTATAGGGGAGGAGGGGTAATATATAGGGAGAATGTATGGCATGCGCAACAAAAAATTTCGCCCGCGGAAAAAAAAAATTTAAAAAAACTTTTAAGAGGAAAAAAAGAAATGTGAGGAATACGCGCCGCATGGATACCGTTTTGGGGTTAATGGCTGTACGGAACTCCCTGGAAGTAGCCCGAAGGCGAAGAGGTACGAAAATAGCAAGCTTGACGGAGGGACTGAAACGGGAAACAAACAATAAGGGATTTGAGTGTATTTTTCCATTTGCGTAACAAGAGGCTGTATCGAGACGTGGCATAAGCGTTGATGGAAGCGAGAGACGTCTGTTAATCCAAACTCGTTAATTACGGTTGCGGCTGATATCGAAGGACTCAGAGATACGTCGGAACAAAGGCATCTTTAGCTTCGAGTAATGGAAGGCATACATACTCCCCAATCACGTAAACCGAACACCTGGATTCTAGTTGAGCTGGGATTCAGGTAAGAACAGTCGGACAGCTTACGGCCCATCGCACACTTAAAATGAATGTAGATCCAAGAGAAACCCCAGTTTCGGTTATTTCGATAAGAGAAAAGCCTACTACCTCCAGAAAGGGCACCAGCCAAACGAGCATCAGTAATTAAATTGTTTTCCTATAAAGTTTTATTAAACCACGCACTAAAAGATCAGAATCTGAAGAAAAAATAATTCAAACATAAGTATACATCAATAAATTATTCAACCCACTAAATTAAGAAATTTAGAAGTTCAACAAATGTGGCTTGTCGCCCTTCTTCAAGGAGAAAGAAGAGGCCAAGTACTGCTTCAACAATGGGGTGGACTTGATAGAGGCCAACAAGCCGGCGTCGACGGTCTTTTGGTCGGCAACACGTTCAGCCTTGACTTCCTTCTTTGGAAGTTCTTCACCGAAGAAAGCAGCTTCAGACTTCTTGGACTTGGAAGACTTTTCTCTGGCAAAGTACTCAACGTTGAACTTGGAAACGTCAACAGAGGCGACATCGACCTTGGTGGAGGTGGCAATGACGTATCTGGCGTTGACTCTTCTCAATGGAACACCGTTGACCTTGAATGGACCGGAGACCAACAAGGTGTTGTCTTCCATAGACTTCAAGTAAACAACTCTCTTACCTCTGAAACGACCAGCCAACAAGATCAAAACGGTACCTGGAACCAAAGAAGCGCGCAACTTCTGTGGACGGGCAGTCTTTCTGGTTTGCTTAGCGACTGGAGCGTCTTCAGATGGGTACCACTTGGTTGGAGCCTAAAAAAATGGTGTTAGTAAACTAAAGTCTGACAAAAGATCCGTGAGACAAATTTTCTTCCCAAGTACGGTGGACAGAGACCAGACCGTGGAGGGTCCCTCTGCGAATTTAGGCAAGAGATGGGCTCTATCGATGGCGGGCAATGCTTTCGGTAGGACTACCAAGGCCTGGAAGCGCCGACGGTTGCTTTAACGCTGGAATCTTTGCTCTCCCTCAGCCCAGTCCGCCGTCACTTGGAAAATTTTTCTGTCTGCACAAGATCGTAATGATGGGGGTGTATCACTTACTCTTGGGGTGCTCATTTTTAAAATATTAATTGGTATGTTAAAAACGAAGAAAGGAAAATCCAAGCCTATCTTTTTACTACCATTTGTTTTATGTAAGTTCACTTTTCACCAAACAGGTGGCCGGACAGTGCGTGGGCCGGGCTCTCACAATGTTAGCGAGAGGGAAGAGAGAATCTGTGTGTGAGTCCCACTCCCAGCACCCAGTGAGTATCGACGGAATTGGTAGGCTCACTCACTTTTGCACCTTTAGGCGGTAAAATTTTTTTCGTCGCGATTTGGCGCAAGGGAGCCAGTGAAAATTTTCGCGCGTGCGTGCTGCAGGCTTCCGTAAAGGGAAACAGCAGTCACAAGTGTTTTGTAAGTTTTTTAGAAAAAAAAGTCTCCCATGCCAGATATTCCTCCATATTCCCAGCGATCCATAGGCTCTGACATCTCGATATATAGTCACGTGATAGTCATGTGACATATACTGAGATTAGCCGGACCTATCGAGTAAATTAGAGACACTCCAGTATTAATTTTATATAGTCTTTATGTGCCCATGACCTTTCTTTTTGGGTGCCATCTCCTCCCCTACTCGATTATGTAAGCAAACGGTACCCCCAACTTCCCCGTATATGGCTGTCAAAGCAGGAGCTCAAGTGTTCCTTACATAAGTTGGGGTGCCTAGCATACGGGCTCCAAATTGTAAATATAGAAGGACGAAGTGGTCCCGCATAACGAGGAGGAATGAAGCTAAAGGGAATACAAAGGTTCGACAATATTATTAATTTTATTGAAACTCAGCAATTAATTAAACTTCCCCATGGTATTCTACCGTAGAGATCAAATACTATCCCCGTATGTTGCTTTAAATATCGGGACACCCTTTTGAACAAAACATGTATCTTACACACCATCTTTCTTCCCCCCTGTTCACAAGCTCGCCCTCCGCTAACGAAGCATATCAGTATGCACTACAACATACCCTCAAACCTCAACAGTAATATATATAAAATTCAGGGTATAAACGAAAAGTAAAACAGAAAATAATCTCCCTAGTTGTAATGGAAGTTTAAGGTGATGGAACCGGTACCAATGTTAACGGTAAAATCCTCAGTTCTCCCAACCACACTCGATAAGTCCACACTAGCCGTGCCCACTTCAACGTTCTTCCCGAACTTGTGGTTTTCCTTGACAGTGATGAGCATCGTGGTGTCCACCGACGCCTTGAAAGGCGACGATTCATGCCACTTCCATACCCCACCGACGGCCTTCACGGCTCTCGTCTTGTACAAATCTTTAGACTTGGTGGAAGACAGGAGGGAAACCTTTACCACCAAGGCTCCGGCATCGAAGTTGCCCTGGGCCGACACAATCGTCACGCGGCCCGGCATAGCACCGTTGGCATCAACACCTGATTCGGCAAACGACGAGGCGCCCGAGGTAGTGCTCACGTTACGTCTGTGGACGTTGAAGGACGATCTCGGAGTCGGGGCGTGGGGCGAAGGCGGCACACTGTTGCCTCTCGCCGCCTGCACTTCGTTGGCATAGTTGGTGCGCGGATTGACCGCGGAGTTAAGCGGAGCAGGCGGCTTTAAGGTATCGGATTCCAACGCCAGTTCGCTGTCGGGGTCGCCCATCGCGGCATTGGCCTCCAAGACGGCCGGAGAAACGTTGCTGTCATCGCTGACATTGCTCCCAGGCACACTCTTGTCCTTTTTCTTCAGGAGAAAGGTGGATTTCAAGAAAGAGGTGCCCTTCTGGCCCGCACCGCCGACCAAACCCGCAGCACCACCCACGGCACCACCAGTTATATCGGCAACACCGCTAACAACCTTCAACGGAGCGCCGGTAACGTCGTTGAGATCGATACCCACGCCGGAGACCTTACCCACTACCGGTCTGATGTACTCGGGGGCAAAGAGCGCCTTGAACCTAACGAGCCCCTGGGTGTCGAGCTTCGTGCTGAACGAAACGTGCTTCAATGCCTCGAGTTGGGTCAAGTCAACCATGGCCGACCCAAGCAAATCGTCGTCCGACATAGCGTCCCAGTCGTAGACCTGAAGCAAGAGACGGGAGCGGGACCTGGACGGAATCGGCAATGTCACCAGTTCGTTCCACGTCGGATCCAACGTCTTCTTCACCTTCTCCGACTTGAACACCTCGCAGTTGTTCAAGAAGAGCTTCACGTAGGGATCCGACTTTCCGTTTCTGTCGGCAGCCATCAAGCCTTCGGCGCCCAAAACTTCCAATTGGAGCTTCCCCACGTCTGCCGCCATTTCCGAGGCAGGCAACACCACACTACTAGGAATCAATTCGAACTGAACTTGCACCGAGTTACCGTTGCTGGCCACATCCACGGGCTTGGAATAGCCCTTGGTGAGCAAGTCCAAGGTGTGGAAGGAGGTTTCGCACACCACATCGTCCGACGACGTGACCTCGGCCTTCTTGGCAATGCGCAAGATGAACTTCGAGTTTTGGAGGTCGCGGATGAATGCCTCGCCAGAGTCGGCACCGAGAGTTTTCCCCTCCGCGCGGGCACTCACATACGCAGGGAACGCAAAGTCGTCGAGGATAAAGTGTACAAACAAGCCCAGGCGGGTCAACAGCGCGCCCGTGATGTCGAACGACAAAACCCCCGACTGGAACGAGGTGACCTCGTCAAACGTCATGGACTGCTTCTTCGGCCCGATCATCTCGTCCTCCTGGACGTGCTCGTACCACTCGTAGTCCTTCGGATTCTCTTTGTACAACTTTTCCATCCTCGCCTGCTCCTCGGCGTCCTTTTCGTCCTGTTCCGCCTGTTTGACGGCGGCCCGTTCCAAGGCGGTGAGTTCGTCACGGGTGTAGACGGGCATCGTCGGGATAAACGAAACAGAGTAGAAGATGGTGCCCTTGTTTTTGTTTTTAAGCGCAAGCGGCGCGGTGATGACTTTCTCGTTGCCTTCGTAGGCCAACCAGTTGCCATCCGGTCCCCGCTTCATGAAGTCGCCCACGCTGATCGCAGTGGACCCTAACGGCCGGTCCTTGGTCATATTCTGGTAGTCGAATGTGTCCAACGCGATGTGCTGGTGCTCCGTCTGGATCGGCAAGTAGAGTACCTCGTTCCACACTGGATCCAAGCAGTCGTCGATGGTGACGGTCCGTGACAGCAAGCGCCCGTTGATGCTCACCTTGACGTATGGGTCAACCTTGCCAACCACCTCGAGGTTCAACATATCCTTCGCGTGGCGGATGTTCAAGCGGAGCGCACCGACTGCCGGCAAGTGTCCCGTAGCAGACTCCACGCCGGTCATTGCAAGCGGCTTCCAGAGCGCGGAGAGGCGTATCTGGCCAGACGAGTGGCACTTAAACCAGTCCTCGCCGCGAGAAAGATTGAAAAGCACGTCGTCGAGCGGACCGGAGTACTCGGCAATCACCGGGTTGCGATCCTTTTTGCCCTGGTTGTCTTTGACGGTAACCGTCACTGAGGCTCCCGACTTGGAGGTGACCAAAGTTTCAACACTTTCCTCCCACGACGGCTCGTTGGTACGTTTAAGCGCACGGCAGTCTCTGACCTTTTCGCTGTTGATGCGGATCTCCGCGTATGGGTTCAAGACACCCACCATGGACACGGAAGTGTCCAACTTCGCGGCTTCGTGAAGCGTGAGCTTCAAGATACCCACCTCGGAGTCCATTGGCAACTCCTTGGTCCCATCCTCCAACACCTCCGGCGCCTGCACGGGGTACCATCTGAGCGAGTAGCTAAGGGTTCCATGGAGCTTGTCGCCGTCCATGATGCGCGCGCTCAAGCCGGTAAAGACATCCTCTTGGAGCAACTCGCGGAGGTCGAACGTGGCCGAACCCACAGGCTTGTCCGCTCTTACGCCATTCGAGTCCAAGCAGTCCAAGCAGAGCTGCTGCTCCAATGAGTTGACCAAGAGGTATTTGGTTTCGTTCCACTTCGGACTGCTGGTATCGGCCTTGACGTCTGTGACCACAATCTCGGCCGCGTTCTTCTCTGTGTAGAGGTTGAAGTACGGGTCGAGCGAGCCCACGGAGTCGGAGCACTGCAACCCGGTGGCGCTCTCGATGGTGATGGCCAAACAGCCGATAGCGTCCTTCGCCTGCGCGGCCATGAGCTCCTCAACGTTGACGTCGAAAGAGTTTGGCGCGTAAACCATCGGTCTCAACGTTCCGTGGATCAACGTGTTGACAAAGGTCGATAACCCTGGAATCAACGACATGATATCCAAGCCGAAGGTGTCACCACCCACAGGCTTCAACGCGTAATCAATCAACGGAGGCTCCAAGAAACTCACCGAAACCATCTTGATGTGCGGAAAGTTGTTGGAAAGCTTCAACTTGACGTTCATTCTGCCGACAAACTCCATATTTTCCACGAGAATCGGCAACGACTTTGAGACAAACCCTTTCCCAATCCTGACCCCGAGTGCAACCTTCGGGTTGACCTTGGTTTTGATTTCGTTCTTGGTCATGTTGTCTGTGTCCATCGGCCGGAATGAGAAGGCCCAGTCCATCTCGACGTGGTCCGGTCCCTTCTTCGTGTAGGACTTGATACTATCGACGGTAGGCGCCTTAGACCCCAAAGTGAACTCGTCAAGTGTCAAGGCATCGATCCCAAAGCCCGGCGCAGCGTCTTCTAAGATGGCCTTTGCCTGGGTGAGCACCATTTCAGACAAAGCAGGCATGTAGATGACCCAGAACTTTGCCAAGAACGAATTCATCCAGTCCATGGTCTCGGCCTGGGTCTCGAGGCGCTCGCTCGCTACCACGCGCGTCATGTCGTCGCGGATGTTGCGGTTGAAGCGGCGGAACTCTGCACGATACACGGACGACGCGCAGAGGAGGACGAGCACAAGCGCCACGAAGCCCATGTTCCAGCGTGCCACAAGCCACGAAAAGAAGCACGTGCCGACTACGAGTACGGTGTTGTAGTACCAGTCAGAGTAGAACTTGTCGATGATGTAGTTTTCGACAAGCTTGTTAGAAGAGACATGGGTGTGGGTGGAATCCCAGCCACCGATGGGTTTCCAGTTGAAGCCATGCGCTGCCTGGACTGGTGCAGTCTCAACTGGCAAAGCCTTTTCTGGCAAAGTCTTTTCTGGCATAGTTATTTCATCCTTTGAGACCGGTTTCCCATTTTTTGGAGCAGTAGCTTCCGGGGAGGCCTTTTCAGCCGTAATCCTGGTTGAGTCCCCATACAACGAAGTGTTTTGAGTGCTTGGCGGTGTTGGAAGCGCGGCGCCCGGTGTTGGAACGTTCTTGGGAGTGTCTACAGGCCCTGAGGCTGCTTTCTCCGCTAAATTGTCCAGCTGGGCTGTTAGTGTCTGGCAATTGCAATTGGTCCCCCACAGAATCCTCTCTAGGGTATACATACAAGTCCCATGGTGTGTGAGATGGCAATGGTCAATGATCAATGGCCAATCGTGATAATTAACAGGAGTGTCAAAGTTAACCCAAATAGCAAGTTGCGGTCCGTTCTCCCTGGTTAAAGGAAACTCTAGTCGCGTGCAGGAGAGTCTGGTCACGTGCAAATTTCATGTGCTGATGTAAGGCGTTTCCGTTACAGGGTGGGGAGCAGGGTAACCCACGGGCCATTCCAAGTTGATGCACTAGGACCGTGGGGGATCGGCAGAGACTTTTCATAACTATGAAAGCGATTACTCTTGGAACCATCGTAAGATACCCCAGTTCTGGTGTGGCTCTATAGGGGTTGGATTTGTCGGTTTGGCTGCAACCGCTATCCTGGTATGCATGATTGGCGCCGTGCATGTACCAGTATCCGTTCGGGTTTATCGTCAAGTTAAACAAAACGGCGACGAACACTGGTAAAGCATTGAATGCAAAATAATCTTGGTTGAATAGGCTCACCTTAGGCTGTGTTATTTGCTATAGATGGTTTTTATCAATCCAAAAAAACGTGATGGGTGAGTGGAGTGATCTGCAGGTGTATGCGCTACGACTGTCTCACATCCCAACACTTCAGCTTACCGTGGGGTATCCTCGGTGGGTAGATAACCCCTTGTCTGTTCTGCCACTCGTCCTGAAAACATGTGTCAACGTCGTAGTCGTAGTGATTTACACCGGAAATTTATTGTCACTATGAATGTCCTCCAGTCCACTGGCTTTGCACTGTGCTGTAGTTCCCGTTTTACGCCAATTGATTTCTGTAGGATTTGATAAGTTTGACAGATCCCATCATCTTGGGAAAGTGCCAGTGACAGGATCACTCTTTCAAGAGGTGGTGTCCTATATCTTCAGGTATCAGTGGCAGTAGAGCTGGTGTTTGTAGGCCATACAAGCTATTTCATTGTCAGATGTCTGATTCTAGTTACATATGCGGTGTAAGACTGTAGCCCTTTCAAGCTAGTTCGTGCGCTATTTCCCCGTGTACGTCAATGTCATACATTAATTGGAGACGTGTACCTTTCCACTGCGTTTTGCTTATACGACAGCTATTCTGGTAAGATTGCTGCAAATTGCCAAGACTTAACTCAGTGGGGACCTGAAGTTTATGCGCAGTTATAATTGACATGTGGCCATGCTCGTTCCAGAATAATTAAGGCGCTGGTTTATCATGTAGAGCTTTGAGGCTAGAGCTTAAGTACACGAAACGTATACACCAAAACATCCTACACGTACATTCGATGTAGCATTTATCAAACGATGGGCATAGCCCTATAAAATTAAAAAAAAAATACTACACGTACATTTGAGAGTTCTGAGAGACACGCTCCTTTTCGGCAGAAGAGATTCTCCCGACATTGGTGACTTCATGCAGGTGGGATACCAACTTTTCGTTGGAATACTCATGTTGGCCATATGGCTCGCTTGGGGTCTGGATCCCAGTCTGCACTTGTACGTCTTTTGGTAATCTGTCTGGCTTGTAGAATCTCAAGTCAACCCTAAAGACAAGGTAGATGACGTTGATCAACACCTCGAGAGCACCCCACATCACGTACATCAAGACTGGATGGTGGACCCAGGTCTCAGTCGCCTTGGTCTTGTTGCCGAAACAGGCAATGGTACGGAAGATGACGGCAAGGAGAAGGAAAAAGGTAGTCACAGTAACGATGACGATCGAGTGGTTAGTGGAAAGGTTTGGTCTAGATCTGTCTGGCACATCCGAGCTCTCTTCCACAGTGTTGTAATGCTGTTGGTGGGCGGCAATGACTCTGACGGCGTAACGAGAGTGGTGGTCACGGGCCATGAAGGTTCTTTCAGCCTCTTTGGCAGCGCCCTTAGGCACAAAGTGGAAGGTGGAGAAGGAGTCCAACCACCATGGCTGGTAGACGGTGATATTCTTGTCCTTAGTGGTTGGCTTGAAGACATAGGCCAACAAAATCAAGCTGACGGTAGAAGCAACGTAGACACAGTTAAGAATGGCAGCCACCCTGAATACGTTCTTGCACATGGTGTACCTCCTTTCAGAGAGGTAGTAAATGTAAGGGACCACGCCCGAAACTACACTCATGATCACAACACCCACGACACTGGCATATGATGCATTCATGAAAGTCCAGAAAATAGCAGAGTTACCTCCGACCGGATGTCTCCAGGTGAAGATTCTCTGGGCGAGAATTAAGTTGCATGAGACGAGAATGACCGGGGCAGCAATGAGGAAGACCTCAGAGGCAAGACCAAAGTTGACCAGCATAATGTCCAAGCCCCAGCCAATACGGAAACCGAACCCCAAGGTTCTGACAAGGTTGTAGAAGGCAAGCCCAAGCGAAACGTGGAACTTGTGCCCCCGTGACGTGTTTATGGCCCAGATCCCAAGATGGGCAAGGAAGAAAATACCAAAAGCGGCTGTAAAAATCGCCAGAGGCGCAACATCTTTGTGGTCAGGATATGACCCGAACAATGCATTCTGTTGGCCCAAAGTCAGCAGGATCAAGAAGGGTGGGATGGTGCCGCCTAACAACTTAGCAGCAGCTGGCGTGAGCTTCTTGATACCGGTGCCGATCGCCGCACCGTTTGTCAACTGAGCGATAATTGCATCCATCGGGTAAAGTAGAGATTAGTTAAGTGGTAAAGTTCTGCAAATTCAGCTAGTAAAAACTAAGGTGCACTGGGAATGAAAGTGCCTGGGTGCTTGTCACGGGGAGCTGAAGACAAATAATGGACAGGGAGTTAGTCTTTATATATACATCACACATGTGGGCTGCTGTCATTCGCGTCAGGCGTGCTGATATTAATAAAAGATCAAATCGCGAAGTGTCCAGCGCTTGCCGTAAACTTTAGTAGCACGGTGATGACATGAATGGCTGTAGTCTGGGACGGGAAATTTAGGCTTTCCTGGGCGGCGCATGTGGAATCTTGTGTGCATGATGCTGCGGAGAGGGGTAGATTGGGCGCGTGGCATTCCAAGGTTCTTTCAATGCGGCGCAACCCAGTCATCCCCACAAAACCAGAAGAAAAAAAGGGGGTATGGGGTTGTTGTCAGGATAATACACGCTGCTAGAATATACAGTTGGTATGGTGCAACAAAGGCGGTCATAAAGTGGTGGTAAGGATGCCATATAGTCCTACCGTATATCTATGGTGATGCACACATGCTGCGATTTAAGGTTCTGCTGTACCTACTCGAATGAAACTCATGTTCCACTTTCTAATGCTCCGCGTTTGGTCCCGGTTTCTACGCACCAATGTCGAACCATTTATTGGCCAGAGACTGGCATTTAAATCGTAAAAAGAAACGGGTTTACCTATTGGAGATCTTGGAGGGTGCCCAACATTAGGTTTCGCAGGACATTCATTCCACTGTGTGCTATCCTCGTAGATTGCTTGGCTAGCCCCAATACCTGCAACATGTGATTCGAATCCTACAGGTTTCGTCTATGGGCCATTTACCCATCCCGACCGATAGATTTTGTAGCACAATTATAGACTAGGCGGCTTGAGCCACGGGGACATCGGACCGAAAATATTTGTTAATGTTACTCTTTGCGCGTTTTCTTTCATAACTCAGATGTATCTAATACAAACAAGGATCAACACTTCCCAGATAAAAGCCACATGTCTCTAATAGACAGGTAGCTGGTTGTCCTCAGGTGCCCAGAGTTATGTGTTTTTTGTTTTGTATTTTTGCCAGGAAGCACCGAAAGGAGGGATATCTATCTAACGTTTTTGGTCAAATTCCGACCGCCATTTAAATAGGTGGTGCCCTGATGGACATTCCCCAGGGAGTGTTATCGAAGGTTAGTAAGAGCAGCCACAGTCCCGAGGATTCTAAACTATGAGGCAGTGGTCCCAGGCTGTAAAATGGGCCAAGGGATCTCGTTACGTCTTAGGATGGGAGTTTTACCCGTAGCTATTGGATTGTCGACTCGGCCTACATCCGGATCATATGTCAAATTAACTACCGACAATACCCGTTGTTCGGTGGCTTACAGATTGTCTAGCCCTGAGCGTGGATCACTGCTCTTTATGGCTATACGGGCTGCATGATTATCTTTATATAGTTCAATAGCCGGCTCAAGGTTTGATCCGCAAGACTGGTCTACCCCGCTCTCCCAGGCAGGATTTCTTTTTCTATGCAGGCAAATGCTAAATAGATAGATACTTCACTAAATAGGGTCATTAGGTGCTGTAACTAGAACGTCAACGCCGGTATTCCCTGCTGCTCAACTCTAAATTCGAGGGGAACCATTTGTTATCAGTAAAAGATAACCCCGGCAAGTTGCCTTGGCACGTATCAGGTTTGGTGTGAACAAATAGATGTAAGCAGGCCCGGGGAAACCGTTGTACACTGTTTGCACGTGATGTACTACCATGCCAGCAAGAGGAAGCCGCATTGTTTTTTGTTATGACTCTTCGAAGAGTCTACTTTGTAATTGACACATACCCACAGATAGAATGAGTAAAGGTCTCCATTCCGTGAAACTTTATGCGGACAGACTCCAAGTACTCTAAAAAGTTTAAACCCCGAAAACCTCCCATTCCGGAGAGGACCAAATGCGACCGAATTTACATGCGGTGGCCTTATCCTCTATGGTGACGTCAAGTCTCACGTATCAAAGTTCCACCGGGCCGGCGTCTTAAACGCAGAGGATTCTTGTCACTCAAAAATAAATACGGTGAAGGCAAACGGAACGCTTATAGACCACTTAGTCTCTGAAAGTGGCCACAGTTAAAGCCTTTTTGTTTCAGAGACCATTCTCTAAGCTTCCAATTTAATATTAACGTCTCCCCAATCGGACATGTGCACCGGATTCGAAGGGTGAGCGTCAACTGGTACGTGAGCGGATATAACCCTCGTATGGAGATTGGCAGACACTAATAAAAACTCTATGCCATGTATCGAGCGGCTCGTGGGAACTATATACCCCAGCAGTACTCCCGTGACATATTTATCGTCATGGAATGTGTTGTAACACCACAACAATTAAACTTTGGCCATTTTTAGAAACTTTAGGATAGATTTTTTTTGATTGTGAGAAGCGGCTTTAGTCTTCAGCAACAGCCAGGATGGTGTTTTGCAACAAAAAAATGCGAGCCGGCACCAGGGGATCTAAATTGATTTAACTCCCAAAGCAAGACGCTGCAATCGCAATTTTTCTAGCTATCAGTAAAATAATACGCTTAAGGCACCAACTTTGAGAGGATAATTTGGTTTGGTACCGCCAAACGCCCTGCAGCTTGATAGCCAAGGCTATACAAAACGCTATTCACCTACATCGATCCACAGATTTCCAATATGGATACCAACGATTTTCCCGGTCTAATATACCTTTCTATTTATGGTGTTAATAAAAAATTGTTAATACAAGCTTCTCTATCCAAACTCGCCAACTTACAATTGACGGTTTTATCTCTGTACGCAGTAGCATGTGGAGTCTCTATAATGCAGGTCCGATACGGGTGTTATCACCGGTACTGGTAAGAGGTGGCTATTGGTTGCTAAATAGTCTAGATAGCTCCCGGTTGTGAAATAGTTTAGATAGCCTCCGATTGTAAAATAGTTTAGATATATAGCAAAAGAGCGTGGATAGTTTTCGCAAAAAAAAAAATGTTGGGAGATAACCAAGTGGCACACTTGGTTACTGCTTTTCCTGGTTTACAAACTGAGCTTCCTTCTCGTTTAGAGCTTGCAATCGTTGCAAATTTCTTTCGCGTCTCGTGGCGATATCCTGTTCAAACCTTCTATTCGCCCATAATCTCATCTGCTCGCCGTACACAACAACAAATAAGGGGAAAGGAACACCTAAAGCCAAGGCTACAATGGCGCACAAGGTATTGCCCCACCCATAGTTCAACCTTGCGAACATTTGATTAGCAAACAATGGGAATCCAAACCCAAAGAGGGATCTGAATAACGAGGCGGCGCCTAGAGATGAGGCAGCGAAAAGCGGATTCATGTGAATCAAATAACTCTGAATGGTTTGAAATGCAGCAATAAGACCAAACCCAAAAAGCCATAGACCTATGGATGGTATAATCCAATGAAGGTGTTTTTCGGTCGACCATCCGAACCAAAGAAGTCCTAGTGGAATGATACCCCCGGAGCAAACCAACATCGGCAACCTGAATTCGGGTTTGGAAACACCCCCATTTCGTACCACGCACCGCGAGTAGTATTTGTCGCAGGCCCACGTCCAGAAGGAAATCCCCATAAGGTATCCCAAGGCCAAAGGAAGAAATAACAATCCCGAAGTGCCTTTATCGAAACCGTATACATCGCTCCAGACATTGGGAACAGTGACAACCGTCAAGTATAGTATACCATAGACAAATGCCATGAAAGAACCAAGCCCGTATACCATTGGGTGGAATAACAACAACTTTATAGGACGGCTTAGGTTTACATAAAACCGACCGGCCACGGTCTCCCCATCGGCTATTTCATAGATGCACTTCAAATTAGGATTGGCATGCTCCTTCCGTAACCGAGCCGCCTTTCGCTTTAA